CAATAGATGTTGGGCAGGCCATTGAGGATGCATTTTTTTTTTTTTTTTTTTCAATTCCCCTGTCTACACACTCTGTGTGGATTGGGGAATCCATCCTGCGGATCTATTGTATTCTGACAGTGTTCCTTTTGTATGACTGATTCATCTAATACAGGGCCTTTACCTAAGGATACAATTTTGTTTCAGGTACATCAAATCAATCAATCTTATTCTTCACATATTGATTATGCCAAAGGGCTTGATGAATAATTAACAATCGTTTTCATTAAAAGGAACAGTCCTATGGGACAATTTAGGGTCTTTTCACAAGGGCGTTCTGTTTTTTTCATCAGTTCAGTCACTGTTTTTCAAAGAAAAAATTGATCTGTTTCTCATCTGTTTTTAATTCAGTTTTTTTACATCCTTTACCGATGTAAAAACAGACCGTATATCCGTTTACATCCATTTTTTTGTCCGTTATGTTTTTTCTACGGAAGAAAAATAGGGTTTTCTTCTGTTGAAAAAACGGATGTTAATGGATGCGGACATTAATGGATGTAAACAGATTAACATCTACTGGTCCATAGAGATACATTGGTGTCCAATTTTCATTCGTAAACAGAGAGATAAAAAACAAACATACAGAACATCCATGTGAAAGGACCCTTTGTCACATTCGACCAAGTCAATCCTTGTGCTGTACAATTAATTTTAAGTGAGAGGTGTATTTTTTTTTTTTTAGTTTGATTGATGTGAACTTGGCATTAGACAAGAACTCAAAATAACCTCTTCCTTCTGACTCCTGTCCTATGCAGGCCATAGACTGGTCGAAAACCGGCTGTTTTAATGAAAAAAAAAAAATCAGTCGTTCAATAGTCGGGGGCGTTACCACCAGCGGTAAAAAAAAAATCGGCCGATTTTCGTCCCGTCTGCGGCCGGCATTTAGTTACTTAGGTCCCTTGCAGAGAGCTCCGCTATTATATTTGACATGAAAAAGTATTGCGGTTGCAACGATGTATCTATTTGTATCCATTTCAGATACAGATGTTTTTAGTTGGATACAAATAGATACATTGTTGCAACCGCAATACTTTTTCATGGCAAATATAATAGCGGACTGGAATTCTTTTTCTTCTTTTCCTCCCTCCTCCCCATCCCCCCCCCCCCCCCCCCCCCCCCCTTTTTTTTTTTTTTTTTATCGGTAAAAAGATGGGCTGATTTGCCCATCATTGCCGGGAAAATCGGCCCGATTGGCAAAATAGTCCGATTTTTTCCCCCCCCCCCCCCCCCCCCCCACAACTTCACCAATTAAAAAAAAAGTGCCAAAATCCCAAAAAAATGGCCGACCAATTAACCCACTAACAGTGCGAAAATCGGCCGTTTTTTTTTTTTTGGCTGCAAAATAGGCCGATTTTTGACCCATCTATGGCCTGCATTAGCGGTATCGATAGACTGGGGAAATGTTCACACACTGAGTGCTGTCCATGTTATCATTTGTGTAGGGCAGGGGTCTGCAACCTTTAAGACATAAAGAGCCGCTTGGACCCGTTTCTGAGAGGGAAAAAAAGACTGGGAGCCGCAAAACCATTGCAACATTTAAAACAAATCCGACACTGCATATATTGCAAAAAGCACTCTGGTCATGAAGGGGGTTTAAGGGCCCAGTAAGCAAAGGTTAATCAGGGCCACATTTATCGTCATAATCACAATCATAGCCTTTCAGTGGTGGGCAACCTTTTTTTTTCAACTGAGCCAAATCTCGCCAAAACCACGATTGAAATTTTATTTTGAGAGCCACATTTTTAAAACTGAAAATACATCCCCCATATAGTAATTCATCCCCCATATAGTAATTCATCCCCCACATATAATTCATCCCCCACATAGTAATTCCCCACATAGTAATTCATCCCCCATATAGTAATTCATCCCCCACAGTAATTCATCCCCCATAGTAATTCATTCCCCATATTAAGTCCCCAAGTCCCCCCCTGTGTCAATTCACTTACCTTTGCTCCGCGCGTTCCTCTCGCCGTGTTCCCGCGCCGATCCGGTGTAGCATGAAAATCTGTCTCCCTATGAGGATCTGTCCCCCTCGACGTATCTGCGCATGTGCCAGTTTCAGGCATTAGCAGCCGATCGGCGATCTCCGGCACATGCGCAGATACGTCGAGGGGGACAGATCCTCATAGGAGACAGATTTTCATGCTACACCGGTCTTCAGGGCGGACTGTGAGAGGAGCCTAGCTCCGCGGACCGGATTAAAAAGTCCGCCTGACCGGGCCATAAAAAAAAAATAAAAAAAAATTTAAATTATAAAAATAAATAAAAATTATAAGTATGCGGGCCGTAGTTTGCCCATTGCTGCCCTATTGCCTGTCACCTGGTGGGCAGTGTGCTCCGGAGCCGCAGCCAAGGTGAAAAAGAGCCGCATGCGGCTCTGGAGCCGCGGTTGCCAACACCCGGTGTAGGGGTTTGAGGAGTGTTAAAAATGCCCCTCAAACACCTGCTTTCAATGCCAGTGTGAACTAGGCCTTAGATTAATGTATCTAAATCAGCTAGTACATCTAACACTCCCCCTTCCCCCAGACTGACAATGCTACTGTCCGAAGGTGCCCCTGTGTTCCTTCATCCAGAGCGGGGGTACTCTAATATAGGAGGTGTGTTACTGGCCAGATCACCAGGTAAAAACATCAGTGCACAGTGAGGGAATTTACTAAGGCAAGCCATATTTGAGGCGATTTTCTTTCCTTCAGCCAAAAAAAAAAAAAAACTCGATTTCCCCATCAACATGGGGATAGGGGAATCCCTCCCACGGTGCTATTGTGTTCTGCTGTGGGGAGCTTTCCCTGCTGGCAGAACACAATGATTACTGCTGCCTATTATAGCCACTGGAAGTAATCGCTTGCAAAAAATCCGACAGGCTGGTTGTACTGAAGTCAGTTGATAAATCGACTTCAGTACAACCAGCCTGCCCATAGATGGATCAAATCATACCCGGTCCCTGCTGAACTGGCTAAGATTCGATCTATCTATGGCCAGCTTAACCACCCCAATACCGACACTTTCACCTCCTACCTGCACAGGCCAATTTTCAGATTTCAGCGCTGTTGAACTTTGAATGACAATTGCACAGTCATGCAACACTGTGCCCATATGAAATTTTTATCTTTCTTTTTTTTCACACAAAATGAGCTTTCTTTTGGTGACTATTTTTTATTGCCACTAGGTTTTTATTTTTTGCTAAATAGTCGAAAAAAGACAAAATGAAAAGTGTTTTTTTTTTTTTTTTTTTTCGTTTCTGTTATAGAATTTTGTAATTGAAGAACTGTTCTTCATAAATTTAGGCCAAAATGTATGCTGCTACATTTCTTTGGTGACAATAAACCAAGTCAGTGTTTATTTAGTTTGTAATAAAGTTATAGAGTCAACAAACTATGGTATATAATCAGAAAATCAATCAATCCTGATGTACTCATTTCTAAAGGCCATAAAATGTTAGAACAGTACAAATAACCCCCAAACGACCCCTTTGTATAAAGCAGACAGTGCAAGGTATTTAGTAAGAGGCATGGCAAGGTTTTTTTGTTTGTTTTTTTTCTGTTTTTTTGAGGTTGTAATTTTGTTATAATTTTTTGGAAAATGAAGAACCTAAAACATTTTTTTTTTTTTTTACATACTGTCACCAGTGCAGTACAGTGTCATCATATAACTGGTGTGGTGATCAGGGACACTGATGAATTTAATAAATTTTTCCAATATTTCTCTTCTATTTAATCACATTTTTTTTTATTTTTAACACCCTGAAATGAGCAGTATAATGTTACCATAGTAACAATGTACTACTGTAGGTAAATTATTATACAGGATTTATATAGCGCCAACAGTTGGTCAGCGCTTTAAAATATAAGGGAGACAATACAGCAACAATACAGTTCAATACAAGAGGGAAAGGAGGGCCCTGCTCCTTGGAGCTTACAATCTAGTATGTAGTTTTTTTTTCTCATTATGATTGCCTATACCAGTGAATTTCACTGGTATAAGCAACCATTTTCACTGAATGAAATTGATGCATTCAGTGTGTATTGCTGTGATTTAGCTGTGATTGGCCACATTTAAGCACATGGTACATGTGGGCTGTGATTGGCCCTGTCTGTACCATGTGATCACTGTGACCAATCAGAGCTAGCAACATAATTGTACACAGTCAATGGCATGATTTGAAGCCATTCATTGTTTACAATTGCCTTGTGATCTACTGTGATTAGTCGCAGCGATCACATGGTTCTAGCAGCAGCCGGTACAATGGTCTGTCATCAGATTGCAGCATCAGACGACAGATCGCAGCCATGTTCCTGTAGGACATCATCTGTCATCCAGCCAGAATGCTGAAAGTGGTTAAGACTGGAGCAAACAGAATCTGGAACATCTGTGCATGACAACCAGTCAGCTTCTAGCTTTAAACGTCAAAACCTAACTGAACAGGCTGAAGTTACAATCTGGAGCAGCTGTGCATTGTTACCGTCTGCTCCAGTGTTAGTAAATTCCCCCCCCCCCGAGATGCTGTATGAGTTTTGCAGTGACACAACACACTGGTGTGAATGGGACCTTTTATATGACATGTCCTAAGACATAGATTCCTAAAAGAAGTCACTGCAATGTGTCCACACATACTAGATTTCCCCCTCCAAAATCCTCTTCATAGCGCCCAGGAGCCCCAGAATATGTGCATAACTAGATTGTAAGCTCCAAGGAGCAGGGCCCTCCTATCCCTCTTGTATTGAACTGTATTGTTGCTGTATTGTCTCCCGTTATATTGTAAAGCGCTGAGCAAACTGTTGGCGCTATATAAATCCTGTATTATAATAATATTAATAATATTTGGGAATCTGGTGGAGGCTTTGCCACTGCATCAGCTTGCTCCTTGAATTCGTATATGGTGCTTACCCAATTCACACTGTTGATTTCTCTGCCTGAAAACATGTTATGGTTCCCATTAATAAATCTGTTTTCCTGGGTTTCTTTTTCAGGATCCCTCAGTGACGCAGATTACTGCCGGCAGCCATGGAGGTATTGAAGAATTTAACCCTTTCACTGAAAGTTCACGGTTGGTGAGTATGAGTAATACTGTGCAGCACATAATATCGACAAGGATAATATCACGTTATCAGGTTTTAGTTCTGATGCTTTATTCTATTCCCTGTCATTCTGGAAGAACATGAGAGCGATGATATACTTGTAAAAGAATAGGAGATGGTAAAAATGTGCCATTCCCTTTTCCACCTTCGCCAGTATTTTCCTTCCAATTTCCAGGCAGGACCGGCTCAGAAGCAATACTTTTTACATGGGGGGGGGGGGGGGGGCTGGAAGAGTGGATACTGTTGGACATCATCTTACTACTGCATCTGTTTAGATGTAGATAAATGAATTATGATTTGGCAGAATCTGGCAGTAAATACTATGCAATAAATGGTATTTAAAAAAAGGATGGAATTTGTGGTTGTGCAGTCTATATGTATTTTGTTCCTGTAGATTGTCCTCAATATCTTGACCATATTTTTCAGTTTAAAAACCACATTGTTGATTGCGGTGCAAAACAGTAAAATAAACAATAGATGTATAAATGTCTTGTCAGATAAATTCTAATCTCTCGGGACCCCTGTTTTTTTTTTTTTTTTTTTTTCCCTGCTAGCCTAAGCTATCTTATTTTTTTTTTTTTTTTTTCAGCACTAACCCACCAAAAAGATGTATACCTCAATATCTTCAAGCAGTATGGACAAAACATGCTTATTTAAAGAAAGGGTAAAGCTGGCCACAGATGGATTGAAATTCCGTTGGTTTAGCAGGGACTGGCCAAATTCTGATCCATGTGTGGATATCCCTGTTTGACAGAAGTTTGTTGTTAGATCGATTGATTTCTGTCAAACGGGACTGTTGGAAAAAACTTCTGTCAGTCAGCAGCTGATCAATGTATGCTGACAGTGCGAGTCCCTCTGTTAGAATACAATGTCTCATTGTGGGGATTCCTTCATTCACCTTGTTTATGTGGATGGAAAAATCCATTAGTGTTCAACTAACTAACTGGCTGAAACAAAACAACCCATCTATGGCTAACCTAATGGCTGAAAATGCTGCAAGCCAGTAACTGCAAGATGGCTCAAACAAATGATCTGTCTTAAAGTGGTTGTAAACCTCAGATATGAAATATGAACAAAACACATCCTTCTGTAGTGTGTGGTTATTTCTATCCAAAGCACCGAGTGTCATTTCTCTCTGCTGCCCCATTCCCCTGCCTTCTGTATGAGTCATTTCTGAAAGGGTTTTCCCACACAGAGTTAAAGGATAAGTACAGCCAAAGCTCAGTTCGTTCTGCACTCCCGTGACCCATTTTCAGCTGAGAGCGGACTGAAGTTAGCGGACATCACTCAGCTGGTCTAGGTTTGGGAACAATCCCGACTTCAAAGTCAAGATCCACCCCAGAGTCTGGAGCTGCATCTGGCTCAGCCTCTCAGGGAAGCGCTGAGAGCCTGAGTCAGCCGCCGCTCCCCCAGCCCAGCACTTGGGGGGAAGGGGGGGGCTGAGCAGACAGCGGTGGCTGACAGTCCCGTTCTCTGCTTAGAGTAGAGAGGGGAACACTGCGATCAGCGGTCATGCAAGTCCTGAGTTCTCACACTTAGTCCGGGTTCACATATGCGGTGCAGTACATCTCATTTGATTCGCACAGGAACCGCACCACATTCCTGTGCAAATCACATGCTCTTTGTGTGCAGTGCGATTGGCGCCATTTTGTATGGCTCTAATAACACCGCACCTGCACCAAAAAGGTGCAGGACCCTTTTTTGGGTCCAAACTAGAATCTGATCGCATGGGTATTCACACCTATGTGATCTGATTCTGCACATCGCACCCCGTTTTGCAGACAGATTTGGGGGTGTTAACATACACACCTGCAGCAGTTCCCATGAACGGGGTGCGATTCTGATGAAAAAGCTGCAAATTCTGCACTGCATCAGTCTGAACCCAGGCTTAGAGCCAGCGAGGGACAGATGCAGCATCGGACCGATGCTGCATTCACCTAGGTAAGTATAATGGGGGGGAATAAAACCATACTACACTTTTAAAAAGGTGAGAGGGAGGGAACTCCAGCACACTGCCTGTGATTCATATCCTTAGCGCTGCATGGTTGCTGTGTGGATGGAGGGGGGGCTCTTCCCTTCAGTCAGCGCTATGAGCTCTCCTCACACTGTTTAACTTGAGATCCCTGGTTCTGGAGCTGAGAAACAGTCCTTTGATCTGTGTGTTTTAAGAAAGCTCTGCAGGACAGAGGTACAATGTATGTTGGAAGATTTGTTGAATCTCTGTGTATCACCTGAGTCCAGTCACTTCACTGGGTATATGTAAGGGTTTTCGACAACTTTACCTATTGTGCTGTTGTTAATCACCATAAGGCCTTAGCCTTCGTTCACACTATGAACCTCATGTGAATCGCACACAGGAACTTCATTGCATTCCTGTGCAATTCACGTGTGATTCATTGTGGTGCAATTTGAGCCCATTCATTTTCAATGGGATCAAATTGCACCGCATCGCACTGAAGACCTGCATGCGCTTTTTTTGGAGCTTTTATATTATATATTATTATTATTATATTATACAGGATTTATATAGCACCAACAGTTTGCTCAGCACTTTACAATATAAAGGGAGACAATACAGCAACAATACAGTTCAATACAAAAAGGGATAGGAGGGCCCTGCTCCTTGGAGCTTACAATCTAGGAGCTTCACCGCAACCAGATCTAATGGTCGTTTTGTACCATGCAATCTGGTGCAGGCAAACTCACTGTGTTTGGGGTGTCATTAACTTTTGTATTGACACCTGCTGCACATCGCAAGGGCAGTGTGATTGGAATATGGTGTGTGAAACGCGCTTGGATTACGGCATTTCAAACATCGCATTAGTGTGAACTTAGGCTTCAAGCCCGCCTTCCCCCCTTTCCTAATCTGCGGTCTGCATGCTCGGATAAGGGTCTGGTATGGATTTTGGGTGGGGGGGGATCACAGCGAAGGGCGTCATCAAGTGGAGAATATATAGCGCAACAGTGACATTACCAAGAACTGTACGTTCCTCCAAAATTGATGAAAAGACGAGAAGAAAACTGGTCTGGGAGGCTGCCAGGAGGCCTACAGCAACATTAAAGGAGCTGCAGGAATATCTGGCAAGTACTGGCTGTGTGGTACATGTGACAAAAATCTCCCGTATTCTTCATATGTCTGGGCTATGGGGTAGAATGGCAATATGGAAGCCTTTTCTTATGAAGAAAAACATCCAAGCCCCGCTAAATTTTGCAAAAACACATCGGAAGTCTCCCAAAAGCATGTGGGAAAATGTGTTCTGGTCTGATGAAACCAAGGCTGAACTGGCCATAATTCCAAAAGATATGTTTGGCGCAAAAAACACATCACCAAAAGAACACCATACCCACAGTGAAGCATGGTGGTGGCAACATCATGCTTTGGGGCTGTTTTTCTTCAGCTGGAACTAGGGCCTTAGTCAAGGTAGAGGGAATTATGAACAGTTCCAAATACCAGTCGATATTGGCACAAAACATTCAGGCTTCTGCTAGAAAGCTGAACATGAACATCATCTTTCAGCATGAGAACGACCCAAAGCATACATCCAAATCAACAAAGGAATGGCTTCACCAGAAGAAAATTAAAGCTTTGGAATGGCCCAGCCAGAGCCCAGACCTGAATCCGATTGAAAATCTGTGGGGTGATCTGAAGATGGCTCTGTGCACAGGAGATGCCCTCGCAATCTGACAAGATTATTTTTTTTTTTTTGCAAGGAAGAGTGTCAAGTGAAGATGTGCCATGCTGATAGACTCATACCCAAAAGACTGAGTGCTGAAATAAAATCAAAAGGTGCTTCAACAAAGTATTAGTTTAAGGGTGTGCACACTTATGCAACCATATTATTATTTTAGTTTTTTATTTTTACTTCCCTCCACCTAAAATATTTTAGTTTGTTCAACTGAGTTATACAGTTTATAGGTTACATTAAAGGTGGGAAAAGTTCTGAAATGATTTATCTTTGTCTCATTTTTTTGCTTCTCAGAAACCTGACATTGTAACAGGAGTGTGTAGACTTTTTATATCCACTGCATCTTATGTAAGAGCCTAAACATTTATAGGGCCATTCATAAAGCAGTGTTGTGGCTATATCAGTGCTTTAGCATTAATTAGTGTAGATTTAAAAAAAAAAAAAAATTCTGTACATTTATTAAACTCGTTGATATGCTTAGTGATCCACTGACTTTGGTGTCACCCTATGAAAAATGAATGAGTGAAAGAAAAACAATTGGAGTAAAGCCAGTTATTGGAGTCAAGCCCATGTGACCATTTCTTCTATAACCATGGAATTCCCTCTGCTAGGTTAAACTGTTCTCTTTGGAATAAGTTAAAGTACATCTAAAGGCCCCTATATGATAGTTTCAACTAAGTTCTAAATTCAGTTACTATGTGATGCAAGCAAGCTTGCATGCAATTACTGCTGGCTGTTATAGCCGCCAGCAGTTATCATTGTGTTCTGCCAGCATGGAAGGCTGTCCACTGGCAGAACACAATAGCGCTGCAGGAGGGATTCCCCCATCAACCCTGTGTTGCAGGAAAGAAAATTGCATCATCTATGGCTTCCTTAAGACCAAACATTCACTTTTTTTGCCCAGTTGTTGCTTCTGTTCAAAGAACATTAGTTTCCTTATCATTGGTTATGTTTCTTACATTACTGGTGCTAAGGAGGTGAAAAATTTTAGTTTTTTTTTTTGTCCTTTTCTAGAGGGCCTGTTCTCTCAGGTGTGCTGTCATGTAGACCTGAAAGAGAGCTACTTCTTCTACTGGTGTTGGTGTTCTCATGGTGTTTTCATGCAGCGCATTCTATGAAGTATGAAGGGTTTCCTGTTTCCTGTGGGTTTTTTTTTTTTTTTTTTTTTTTATCATTGTGTCAAGGGTCACATGCTATTTTGTCAGAGTAACACTGAAACACTATATTTATAGCGACGAACAGCACTGATCTTTATATTTACAAATGTATTGAGATTGCAGAAGGGAATGTCCTCTACAAAGCTGTGATTGACAAAGCAGCATCAGTCCATATATACAGTATCATGGAAGGAAAGTGGTGGCAAATGCTGACTCTAAAGTCGGCCATAGATGGACCGAAAAAAAAAAAAAAAGTCCTGGTTGTAGCAATCGTGCATACAGAGATGGATGCAAACCTCCATTTTGGCAAAGGCCTCCATCTTCTATCATTTTCATAATTTTTACTCCCAAATGAGCTTCCCTCATCCCCCCTCCCTCTCTGTTGAGTGACACGTGCTCCCTAGTTGCTGAGTTCAAAAAGGCATCAAGGCCCAGCGGGAGAGCTCATGGCTATAAACCCCAATTAGCCTGGCCCCCATATGTCTGGGAGACTTTTGCTGGAAAGGGATCGTAAAGCCATAAACCAAGCCCTCACTGAGCTTCAAAGACATTCCAGCTAGCTGTGAAACGCTTACATTTAAAAACCCAGTTTTCCATATAATTTTATATCTCCAAATAGGAAATAATTACATAAACATGGAGCACATATTCAGATGGCTCACTTTAATACAAGTCGCCTGATAGGTTACACCCCCTAGCTGACAGCTACAGGAGAGCAGAAAATTATATCTCCTCAACTATCCCAGCAGGTATGTCATATTTCATACCTAGACGTTCAGCAGATGATTCTGCATATTAATCTACTCGTGGATAGAATGTTATATGTATCCAGGGAAAGTTATTGCCCTGATATCAACTTGTGAGTGATTTTGGTCCTAGCTGTGGTCTCCACCTACACCTTCCTCCCCAAATGAGGCGATTGGTTCTCTGCTTTAAGGAGACACCTTTTTGAGTTCCTAGCAAAAGTCTGTTATGCTTGGAGATAAAAAAAAAAAAGCTGAGTTGAGCTAAGTTGAAGATTCTCCCTTTTTAACTTCGGAACTAACTTTTGGAGATCAGGCCCTTTTGGCTCAGGAAACTCTATCTGCTTAAATCAAGGCTTTGGCAAGTACTTTATCTCTCTAAATTCCTTTATCTCTTTGCTGTGTTATTGCTCTGTGTGTGTGTGTTGTGTGTGTGTGTGTGTGTGTGTGTGTGTGTGTGTGTGTGTGTGTATATGTGTGTGTGTGTGTGTGTGTGTATTGTGTGTACTGTCATCTTTTATCTGTAAATATTTTTTTATTGCACCCTTTTGACCTTTTTAGTAATAAATCTTACTTTCTGAAAGTGTTGAACTGTTTCTAAAGCTCTTTAATGCAAACTAAGAACCCCTGTCTCTGAAGAGCGCTACTGTGTGTGTTTTAACTTATGTATATCCGACAGTGGTATACAGATGATTATTCAACATCATAGTGTTATTGCTGATATTGACGAGTTTCCTCCTGCTCTGTACAAAAAGGAGGTGGTGGCAGTGTGAAGGGTTAATTGCGTAATTAACCTGACCCCGTAACAATCGCTCCCAGGCTGCAGGTACATAGATTGTGGTCCATTAGCTGGAAAATCTTTGCGCAGGGTGCAGCTGGGCGTGGCATTGTTACACGCGTGACAGCGCGGTTTTAGATTGGTTAGTCCTTCGGTCACGAGTTTGGTGAGAAGGGCTGGGGTCTGACGCCACGATCGTCACACTGGTAGCTGCATGTTTGATTCACTTTCATGAAAATGTAGAGTTCATTGGTAACACACCTAAATTGTTCTGCACAGATGTGAATTGGCCCTTGGGGTTTTTTTTTTTATTTATTTTTTTAAATATTCATTGCAGCAAGTTCATGTTTTAGTTTGTCATGGTGAAATACTGGATGAAGCTTTGTCACTTTGTAGAACCTATAGTGAACATGAACACGCTTGCATTCTGTAGACTTTGATGTATAGCAGCAAAAACGTTTACAGACTGATCGTTTAGACACATTGTAAGCCTAACTCATATATGAGCCTACAACAAGGTAGGTAATGAGAAAAATGAACTACACAAATTATTTATTTTACCTGATTGTATTATTAGCATCAGAAAAATAGTTGAGATCCAAATAGTAGAGGAAGAGAACCTGCGAAGCTTGCTGATGAAATTTTGTTTGTCTACAGACAACCAATCAGAAGACGGTTCCAGTGCAGCCTGTGATGCCTTCTCAGCCAGCTGTTCTTCAGCCATCTATAGAACCATCACCACAGGTAAATGTGTATGATTGATTGTTTTCAGTAGAACATAAAATGGACACTGCCCCAGTCTATAACTGGCCTTCACAGCAAGGAGAACATGGAAGAGCGACGCTTGTCAAACAATAAAAGAGAAAAATTCCCAGCTCAGCTTACCAACCAGCTTGCAAACAAACCAAATCAACCTGTCTAACAGTATGCGTTTAAAAACGGGTTTAGTTAGCACACATGTGCAAATACATGTGTAAGCTGCAGAGCCTCTTCACGGCACCCCGATATTCTGCAGTTCCTAACTCTGCAAATTTTGAGATCCCCCATAGTAGAGGCACATGTATTTAATGGATAAGACTGGTGAACCTGAGGGAGCCCACCCCTCCCTAACCACTTCACGTCCGGACACTTTTAACCCCTTCCTGTCCAGGCCAATTTTCAGCTTTCAGCGCTATCACTCTTTGAATGACAATTGCGCGGTCATGCAACACTACCGATATTAATTTTTTAGCATTTTTTTGAGACAGATCAAGCTTTCTTTTTGTGGTATTTATTCACCGCTGGGATTTTTTTTTTTTTTTGCTATATAAATGAAAATGTCCAAAATTTTTGAAAAAAAAGTGTTTTTCTTATACAATTTTACAAATAAATAATATTTCATCATAAATCTTGGCCAAAATGTATTCAGTTATCTTTTTAGTAAAAATAATTAAAGCAAATTAGTTTAAATTTTAACCAAAAATTATAAATTTTATATATATTATTATATTATATATATATATATATATATATAAAATTTATATTTTTTTTTTTTTTTTTTTTTTTACATACTGCCACCCTAGCAATACAGTGTCACCATGGTGACACTGTACTACTTGTTGGGGGGGGGGGGGGGGGGGGGGGCGGGGAGTGATGAAGATTTTTTTTTTTTTTTTTTTTTTTTTTTTTTTTTTTACACTGATTGATTTTACTTTATGGGTAAAGGCTCTAAAAGCAATAATTTCTCCTTCTCTCTGATTGAGAAATACTGTGTGAGCTATGATTGGTCACAGCTTGTCACATGGCACAAGGCTGTTGTGAATAGCCTTGTACCATGTGACCTCCTGTGATCATTCACAGATTTCACACATAGTCAGCAATGATGTCAGAATTGACAGCTTGCTTACTACTCTGCATGTGATCACTGATTGGCCAATCAGTGATCACATGATCGGGACCTCGCACAGAGGTCCCGTACAATGATCTGTGTTCCACTGTGTCCGGAGGATACAGTGGGCACCGCATCGCAGTGCTGCACGCTCCCCCAGGGAGCGCGCACAAGCAGTGGGCGGGGAGGCAGTTTATAAACGGCCACCTGACCCTGCACTGCCACCATCCGGCCGCTTATATACATGGGCCGGACGGGAGGTGGTTAAAGGTACAGAAGTGCACTGGACACCCAGCATATAGCACAATGGCACCAAGGTGTCCAGTGAGCCCCCCTCATGAACAAGTCCAAAAGTACAACAAATGGCTACTGCCCAGTCTATAACTGGCCTTCACTAAAAACTGACTGTTTCCAATAGAGCAGGTATTATGACAGGTTGCCAATGAGCCCTCCATGATTCTATAGAATTCTAGTGAAATGGCAGTGTGCTTGCACATGATTACTGACCACCAACACTTAAATGTGCAATGGAAACAGTCCGGGTATGTGAAAGCATTTAGATGACTAGATCACTTGCATTGTGCATTTGCATGACATCCGGGATTGGAGGGGGAGCAGCTGTTGTGAAGGGCAGAAACACTCTGATGCTCATGGAAGTGTCAGACAGTAAGAAATAGAAGAGCTTCATTCAATACAGAAGGGCAAACTCCTCTTGATTGGAATACTGAAAAGAGAACCATATCTGAATGTTGGAATACTGGAAATTCCCAGTGTATTGCCACCATATGGCATTTTAACTCTTGCTGCATTGCAGTAGTGCAATACCAAAATAAAACACCCACATTTATTACGATTTATGAAGCCTGATATGAACCTTTTTGGTTGACTTTTAAAGCCTATCTTCTTCCTTGTATTGGGAGTGCCCATGTACAGCAAAGGTTAAATGCTTGTTTATGTTTAGGGTAACCCTCTCCGGGAGCAGGTGTTCTCTTCTTCCCTACACTGACTGGCTGTCTCTTGGCATAAGTCCAGTGCAGGGCTATGGCCCTGCATAGGACTTGATGACATCAGAGGACATGCAGTTGCCAGACTGCCATAGTGCAAAAGAGGCTGTGGGCACTGGCCTAGGGAGGGCCAGGGGTGGGCACTGGCCTAGGGAGGGCCAGGGGTGGGCACTGGCCTAGGGAGGGCAGGGGTCACTGGTCTAGGGAGGGAGTCTGCGGGAGTGGAGTATCTGGCAAGTAAAAGTACTTACCTTAGTCATACAGTACAGGACACAGGCTGGATATTCGAAGACCCTGGGGTATAGGCTTCTACCGTAAGGTGATTGGACACTGGCAAAGCTTTTGGACCTTGAGCTTACGCTATAAAACTCCTCTACACCATGAGATCTCAATTTTTTGCTAGTGTCCTGTAGTTGATGGATCTCTTCCTTTTATGGAGGTGCTCCCATGCTTCCTAGCTCTTATTTACTTTGAATCCTTCATTCAACCTCTTCACTGCCTTCTACTAGAACAATAAAAACAGGCACTGGATTCTGCTTCGGTTCTCACCTTAACATTAAGTGCAACGTGTGTGTTTAGCTACAGAGTGCTATACAGGTTGAAAGCTGTGATCCATTCCTATGGTCCCCAGACACTGAAGACCCCTCTGGGAGTATGTCCATGTCACAAGTTAATCCTGGACCCATACAGGAACCAGTGGCAAAGAAAGATTGGACCATTACTGTAGACCTATAACAAGTATTGGTTTTTAATATCTCCACTACTGTACTTGCTAGATATATATTAGTGTATCCTGAATAGTATTTGTGAAATGATGATGAGGAAGTAGTCTCGCCAAAAATATAATTCCTATTGCAGAGGATGCCTGAAATTCTACTTATATCTTAGTGCAGACTAAAATATATTTTTATTATTATTAATAATAATTTATTATTATTATTATTATTCCAGGTACTTATATAGCGCTGTCAGTTTACTCCACGCTTTACATATATATTGTATATTCACATCAGTCCTTAACCCTCAAGGAGCGTACAATCTAAGGTCCCTAACTCACATTCATACATACACATACTTGGGGCAATTTAGACAGAAGCCAGTTAACCTACCAGCATGTCTTTGAAGTGTAGGAGGAAACAGGAGTACCTGGAGGAAACCCACGCAGGCACAGGGAGAACATGGAAACTCCAAGCAGGTAGTGCCGTGGTTGGGATTCAAACCAACAATCCTAGTGCTGCTAGGCGGAAGTGCTAACCACTTAGCCAATCTGCTGCCCATACCATCACACAAGCAGGAAACGACATGTATGGGGAAGTGCTGTACACCTAGCATGAACAGAAGGACTCCAGGTTGCCATATTGCACTGAATGTCACATAAAATTACAGTGACTGCAGATTGAAAAGGAGAGGTAGTTTTTAATAGCATTCAGTTAGTGTGTGTGTGTGTGTAAAATATATATATTTTTTTTTTTCCACGAAAGTGGAGATATCCTTCTAGATGTTTAGTTCTACTTTAATAGGCTCATTAAAGTGGAAGTCCTATAGTAAGGTTTAACTGTAGGTACAGTGAATATCTCTTAAACGTGCAGTGTTTAGGCGCTAGCCACACAGCAGGCAGCCAGTGCATGCACTCTAAAGGGACGGCATACCTGTAATTTACCTTCAGAACTCCATGCACGGGAGTGACATCATTGCGGCCCCGGCCTTTCGTACAGCTGGAGTCCAATAACCCAGAAGGCAAACCAAGTGAAGATAAATGTGTCCAGGACCCGTGACATAGCTGCGCTGGAGGGCTCCGTGTAAAGATAAGTATGTCATAATAATAAAAAAACTTGCAGGGGTTTTTTTTTTTTTTTGTGTGTGCCGCCATTCAATCAGAATTCATCTGTCACTGATCTAACTTCAGAAAAAGGAAACCCTATTTGCTTCTACAGGCTATTGCACTTTGAAGATCATCGCTGATCTTTCCATTGTTTTATTGAATCCGTCTGGAAGCATTTCCAAACTTTGAAAATCAATAAGAAGAAATTACAAGGTTTTTTTTTTTTCCCCCTTTTTATTTGCTCATGTTTTTTTCTTTGTAGGCAGTAGCAATGGCTGCACAAGCTGGCCTCCTTCAGCAACAGGAAGAGCTGGACAGGAAAGCAGCTGAAATCGAGAGGAAGGAGAAGGAGATGAAGAATGTAAATATTAACTGTAAGTACACTTTTATATTTAGTTTTAAGGCTTGGATGTATTTTGTAGGGTTCTGTGAATATGCTCAGTGAATGCAGAGATCTGCCAGTCAAAACTTAATTGGCTTAGTGTCCATAATTGACCAGTTCAGCATCTAAATCAAACTGACCCTTAATTGCAAGACCATTTTTGCAGAATATACCTGAAAACATGCTGTTTCTGGGTCTGAAACTCATTTACAAAAGCCCTTTTGCTTAAAGTGTAACTAAAGGCAAAAGTTTTTTTGGATAGCGTGGAGAAGGATTAGAACACCTATTTTATTGCTGTCCAGGTCCCCATTTTGGAGATTTGTCCTCTGTACCATTTTAATATTTAAAGTGAAAAAATCCCAGAAAAGTAATAGAGGAGAAATCTTTCAAAGGGGACCTGGGCAAGGGAAAGGGGGTGGGGAATTTGTAAAGATTTCTAATCTCTTCCTGTTTTGCTATGGTAAATCTCCCCTATGAGACAGAGATTGCAAAAAAAGAAAAAAAAAAAAACTGACGGGCTATAACCTTCCCTTGCTCTATCCAAAATGGAAAAACATGTTTTGCCTTTAAGCTCTGCTATAAAGTGCAGGTGCAGCCAAAACATTTTACTTTGCTGTGATTGGAGTGGACAGGGATTAAAACGGCTGTAAAATTGTTAATTACGTTCTGTGTTCCTGTTAGGGAGATGCACCCTGTCTATTAGTTGTGATCATTCTCATGGAGTGAAAGAAAATTCCAAATTTTGAGTTGTCATCAATCAGGAGTAGAGGGAAAATCTTGCAATGTGGACACTAGTTCTGGTGATAACCAGGGATTACCTGACTTCATAGTTATTTCATCTCCCTTCCTGTTGTGGCTATGGGAAGTGAAGGGAAATCACACCGCTGGGGCTCAGTTGGCAAAAAAAAAAAAAGACGGCTATAACTCTTACTTATTCTTTTAAAACAAAAAAAAAAAGTTTTGGCTTTAGATCTAGTGTAAGTAAATACAAAGGTAGCCATTGCTGATCTCCTAACTGATCTAATGGCTTTTAAATTGGAGCTCCACCCAGAAGGGGAAATTTCGCTTTAAGGACTGCTCTCCATTAAGGATTGACATCTTTGGGGGGCAGGGGGGGGGGCGGGTACCCAAATTTGACAGGTACACGATCGGAAGCGGAAGGTGTCCTCCCTCCCTCCCTGTAGTCTTTTGGGACACGTGACAGTCCTAGTAGACTACAGGACCATTCAAGAAGCGCAGCCATAAGTAATAAGCAGCCATGCGCAGTGGGTACCCAGCTGTGAAGCCGCAAGCTATCACAGCCGGGTGCCCACACTGAAGATGCCGGCACCTGGAATACAGGACGGCCGGTGAAACGGGCTGCAGGGGACACACCACGGGACCGAGGGACAGGTAAGTGGCTGTTTTTTAAAAGTCAGCAGCTACAGTTTTTGTAGCTGCTGAGTTTTATTTTTTGACAGCGTGAGTGGAACTCCAATTTAAGTATTGTGAGCTCACTTGCTGCATGCTTATTCTGGACCAGAGGAACAAAAGAATTTCAGTCAACTAAGAATAGGTCATCAATGGTAGTCTCCCTATATTGCTTTCAGCACAAGCTTCTTTAATTGGCATTGCAAGGACATCTAGCACTTCCTTAAACGTTTTCGTTATTTGATCACTACTTTATAAATTCCTAATTTCAGTAACTTTCCCTTTTCCCCCGCAATGGACTAGCATTATTGTGTGGCACTTATTCCTTGTCCTATTCATATAAACACACTTTTTGCTATCCTAGTGATCTCAACAACACAGCAACATGTGATATAAATGTAATATCTTGCATGAATCTTTGGACTCAAAGGTCTGTCTTCTGGGAATATGTAACATACCTGACCTTGGCACTTATAACCATACTTTTCTATAAGAAACACTTGTTTACTACCAGACCGCTTTTAAGATAAACTCTGCATACAGGCTTTTCTATCTATGATTTCCCACTGAAAGATGGATGTTAATGCTACTTTACAAACAGATTGTTTATAAACCTAGTGGTTGACCTTCTAATTATAATATGTGACAAATGGTTATCCTTTCTTCTCCACTTGCAATCCACTAGAAGGAATCGCTCAGCCCTCCTATATGCCTTAGCAGTTCCCTACCACATTTTTGACAATTTCTTCATAGACATTATCTGTAAATTTTGTTTTTTGTCTGGTCTTAGAAGTAAATCCTGTATTCAAAAAAAAAATTTTTTTTAAAAAGCTCCCAGAGCTCTGTTAAGTTAACTACGCCACACAGGTTCAGTTTAACATTTTAATATTTTTTATTGATTTTGTTTTACTATTACACCTAATCTTCTAATAACATTATACGAACATACTGTCAGGTACTGAAAAAGTTGCTTTAATACATAAATATCAGTGGTTTTCTCTGTTTTTAGTTGATCCCTGAAAGTTAAAAAAAATTGTGTCTCCCAACTGCAATTAATAGCTATTTTTTTTTTTTTTTTTTTACTGCAGTAAGACAGAATAACTGGCCTCCTCTACCTCCAAAGTGCCCGATCAAGCCTTGCTTCTACCAGGACTTCTCTGGAGACATCCCAGCAGATTATCAACGCACCTGTAAAATGCTTTACTACTTATGGATGTGTAAGTATTTTGAATTCAAGTAGTTAATTATGGCTTGTATAGGAAGGAAAAGCAATGCCACTTGTTTGTTGTTCTCATCTTTTACATGGCCACTTTTAGTCTGTTGGCTTCACACTTCAGCCTTATCTAGATTATAACTTCTACAGAAGAACCTGTAGATGTGTGCATGGGTGCCTAAACCCAGCCATACATGAATTGAAATTTGTTCAGTCCTTACTGAACCGGCTGAATTTCAAACCGTGTATGGGCACCCTGGTTATACATTACTCGATCCATCCATCAAGCTGTGTAAAACCAGCCTGTCTTGTTTTTTCTGAACAATTAGTGCTGTCTGTTATAGCTGGCAACACAAATCGTTGTCTACCTGCAGAGCACAGTGGTGCTGCAGGACGGATTCCCCCCCATCAACACTGTCTGTGTTGATGTGGAATCAAGCAATTTTTGCATAATCTATGGCCTGCCTTAAAGCCTTGTCACCACTTTTTTTTGTTTTTTTTTCTGTACAGAAAAACCAGTCATACATCAGATGTTCAAATGTTCTCTTTTATCTATTAAATCTATTAAATTATCTAGTAAAAAAAAAAAAAAAACTTTCATAAACTAAAAGCATTGCCTGTTTGGCTCAAATGCAAAAGTCCAGACATAGAAATCAGTAAAAAAAAAATAAACTACTTTAAAAACTAACTGTCTTAAGTGATTGATAAATCTCACTTGTCACCATGCTAAATATCAAGCTATTGTAAGATGATCCCCACTCCTTCTTTTTAGAGTGATCCTTAAATTCATGACAAAATTAAGAAAGGAAAATAAATATCCACTACATCTCTGCAACACCTGTACATTTTACACAAGAATACCTGTTTATCTGCCTGTAGTTCAGTGTGATCCTAACCTTATTTAAGCTGGCTAACCCAAAATCTCAAGAAACGTTGTGAGCACTGTCTGGGGAAACTACAGAAGTTCACCTACCCTCCTGTCCCTCTCTGTCCCAATTCATGTGTATACATTGATTTTCCCAGCAAAACAATGATCCTACCCACACAGTCTTTAGAGAAAGAGCTCTTGGGATATGTAGTCCTTTGTGATAAGTCAATATCTCCTAGCAGCTGCCTCTGCAAGAATTTTGCAACCCTAGTGATGGGAGTAATAAAAGTTGTTTCTCAATGCAGAAACAAGGTTGAAGAAAAATAATGCTGGGACATTCTTTTGAAAGGGTAATGGAGATATTTGGGTAAGGCCTGAATATACAGCTAAAGTAGACATTTAATGATCAATTTCCTGATATTTGTGTGCCTAGAGGTTATGGAACCTTCAGTTATGGAAGACTGGCCAGTAATATTAAGTGATTAGTGCAATTGAGGATTGTCAACCATTGATTTCTCTGAACACAAGTAATTAATGGGTTTATTAATCCTTTTATTTTTCTCTTTTTTTTTTTTTTTTTATAGTTCATGGAGTCACTCTTTTCCTTAATGTTCTGGCCTGCTTGGCGTATTTCACCAGTAACACAGAATCGGGTGGTGTAGATTTTGGCCTGTCTATCCTGTGGCTTATTTTGTTTACGCCTTGTGCCTTTTTGTGCTGGTTCCGACCAATCTACAAGGCTTTCAGGTAATTGAATGGCCGCTGAATCTTTTAGTATCTGTAAGCGCCATATGTATTTTACACCATGGACTGCAGCTTGTGTGAAGAGGGCTCTCACTTCTGTGTGTTGTTTTTATTGTATATATTTGTCAGTTCTTTATCCCTACTGGCTAAATGCTGTGCAACAGAAGCTCCTTTTTTAGCAAACGCGACCTAGAGACTGCGGAAACAGCACAGAGATGCAGAGCCTGAAATTTCTTCTTCTTCTTGAGTGTTTAAGTTGTCGGTCAGCCATGGGACAAAGGTAGTACCTTGATCTATGATGTTCCAGGAAGGTGCTCCAGAAAGGGTGCTGCTTTTTTTCCCTGTTTAAAAGACAGCTATATCTGTGTGTTTTTGTTCCCATGTCTGTAAAACTTGTCTGTACAGTTCCACTGAAGGTGAAGCAGACATATACAGTGCATTCAGAAAGTATTCACATCACTTAACTTTAGCCACATTTTGTTATGTTACAGCCTTATTCCAAAATTGATTACATTCATTTTTTTCCTCAACATTCTACAAACAATACCGCATAATGACAGCGTGAAAGAGGTTTGTTTTGAAATCTTTACAATTTATTAAAAATTAAAAAAAAAAAAAGCACATGTACATAAGTATTCACAGCCTTGCTCAATACTTGTTGAAGCACCTTTAGCACCAATTACAGCCTCAAGTCATTTTAAGTATTTTTGTGCAATTTCTCCCATTCTTCTTTGCAGTACCTCTCCAGCTCCATCAGGTTGGATGGGGAGCGTCGGTGCACAGCCATTTTCAGATCTCTCCAGAGAAGTTCAATCAGGTTCACATCTGGGCTCTGGCTAGGCCACTCCAGGACACTCATAGAGTTAGCTCGTAGCCACTGCTTTTGTTATATGGGCTGTGTGCTTAGGGTCGTTGTCCTGTTGAAAGATGAACAGTCACCTCCAGTCTAAGGTCCAGAGCATTCTGGAACAGGTTTTCATCAAAGATGTCTCTGTACATTGCTGCATTCATCTTTCCTTCGATCCTGACTAGTCTTCCACTTCCTGCTGTTGAAAAACATCCCCACAGCATGATGCTGTCACCACCATGCTTCACTGTAGGGATGGTATTGGCCAGGTGGTGAGCGGTGCCTGGTTTCCTCCAGACATGATGCTTGGCATTCAGGCCAAAGAGTTCAATCTTTGTTTCATCACACCAGAGAGTTTTGTTTCTCATGGTCTGAGAGTACCTCAGGTGCCTTTTGGCAAACTCCAGGCAGGCTGCCATTTGCCGTTTACTGAGGAGTGGCTTCTGTCTGGCCACTTTACCATACAGGCCTGATTGGTGGAGTGCTGCAGAGATGGTTGTTCTTCTGGAAGGTTCTCCTCTCTCCACAGAGAAACACTGGAGCTCTTTCAGAATGACCATCGGGTGCTTGGTTACCTCCCTGGCTAAGGCCGTTCTCCCTCAATCGCTCATTTGGGCCAGGCGACCTGCTCTAGGAAAATTCCTGGTGGTTCCAAACTTCTTCCATTTACGGATGATGGAGGCCACTGTGCTCATTGGGTCCTTCAATGCTGAAGCCATTTTTCTGTACCCTTCCCCAGATCTGTGCCTTGATACAATCCTGTCTCTGAGGTCTGTGGACAGTTCCTTGGACTTCATGGCTTGGTTTGTGCTCTGACATGCACTGTTAACTGTGGGACCTTATATAGACAGGTTTATACCTTTCCTAATCATGTCCAATCAACTGAATTTCCCACAGGTGGACTCCAATCAAGTTGTGGAACCCTCTCAAGGATGGTCAGTGGGAACAGGATGCACCAGAGCTCAATTTTGAGTGTCATTGCAAAGGCTGTGATTACTTATGTACATATGTTGTGTTTTTTTTTTTTTTTTTTTTTTTTTTTTAATAAATTGCAAAGATTTCAGAACAAACTTCTTTCACATTGTCATTATGGGGTATTGTTTGTAGAATGTTGAGAAAAAAAATGAATTTAATCCATTTTGGAATAAGGCTGTAACACAACAAAATGTGGCAAAAGTTAAGCGCTGTGAATATTTTCTGGATGTACTGTAAATAGCTATATGATGCACATGGCTGTCCATACAATTTTTATAAGACACTAAATGCTTATTCAGTAAGACAACACAAAGTGAATTAACGTCGCAGTCAAATTTGACATACAATGGAAAGCTATATTTGGATCATTTTCTCTGGGTTGTTGCAGTTGTATATTAAATTATGCATAGAAGTCTAATTTCTGCTTTACTAACATGCCAGGTTTTTTTACACTAGATGGTTTAATAGTGTATCTGGTTCCTTTTAATCTAGAAATTTATTTAAATCCAATTGGTTGTTGTAAGGAAAAATGGATGGTTTTGCCAGTGGGTAAGGTGATTCTATAGGTGTCACTATTAGTGTATGCAAATCCCATCTTTTTGCTCAGTTTGTTGTAATAAGTTTATTTAGAAAGCCCTTTTTATATTATTAAACAAAAAAATCAAGTTTAGGGAATTGTAGTCTTTTCAATAATTGTTAAACAGGTAAATGATAAAACTGTTACGGCACATAATCTTGTGTTTTTTAATACTTGTATGTAAAAAAGCATGGATGTTTATTTGTTCGTGTTTGCTATTACATACTCTGGCTCAGTCTTCTATCTTGCAGTCCTACATCATGGCTATTCTGCTCCTTCTCACAATGCAAGTCTGAGTCGTCCAGTTTGCAAAAAGCCATGTGCTTCGTATAGGGCTAATATAATATCTCAACAGTTATTAAAGAGGAGCTTCAGTCTGTTTGGAAAAAAAAACTTAGTGTTACTAAACCCAGGACCCTGCATTCACTATATCCTGTCTCCCACAGTACACAGAACATGGAAGTGCAATTATTTTAGTAAATATAAACTACCTTTTCTCATCAGCAGATAGAGCAGTCTTTTGACTTCTATCTGTGTCCAGTCCACCACTAGCTAAAGCTTGTAGGAGGAGTTTTCTTTCTGCTCTAGGAGGATGGAAATCCCCTGACCTCTGTCTGGACAGTGCAGATTGGCCATGTGCTAATCACATGCACTTTCCCAAGAAAAAAAAAAAAAAAAAAACAGCCTCTCTAGCAATATACACCAAACTGAGCATGTGTACGTCTATGGTTCAGTCTGGAGATAAGAGGTGGTCGCTTGAAAAAGGGGAGGAACAGTGAAGAAAGGATCAAACAGCCTTTTTACACAATGCAGAGGAAAAACCCCTTAGGTTCCACAGTGAGTATAACAAGCATGCTTTACTGCATATACAGACTGAACTTACTGTTGTGGGCTTAGTAACACTTTAAGACAGTAGCTACAAATACTGCAGCTGCTGACTTTTAATAAAAGGACACTTACCTGTACCAGGATCCAGCGCCGTCCTCACCTGGGCTGGTTCTTTGCTAGTCTTCCAGCGCTGTTATGTTTACTGTGGAAAAATGTCTGTGACTCCTTGTGGGTTCACACTGCACAACATACGCAAGACAGGCTGCACTTTCTGAAGGGTCCCGCAGCCTTCTTGGTGGGACCTGTGACATGGCCCAGAGAGTTGCAGACAGTGAAGGGGGGGGTATCAAACTTATGGTGGAATTGCTGTGGTGATCTGTCTGGGAGTGGTTACCTGTCAAAACCAGGTACCTGTTCCAAGGGCTGAATGGGTGAAAAATACAATCTTTTCCTCCATCCATGCCAAACAACATGGATAGAGGAATGTTCTCTGCCAGCTATTGTATTATGACAGCCACTGCTAATAGATTACCTGATAAGTAACTGGATCTGATAAGATGTGCTCACTACTTGGCTGACAATGTCACACCTGGCTGCTTTCATTTTTTTCAAAGTTTTTCGAGCCAGGTGGTACTGATAGGGTCCACCCACACCTCCAGATTTCAGCAGGAATTGGCTGAAATTCTAACCTCGTATGACCAGCTTAACAGAGGGTAAACTAGCCTGCCTTTTAGCGACTAGTCTACAAATCTTTACATAAAATAAAAAATAAATAAGCAATACTGATGCTACACTTTAGGGTAAATGCTCTAATATACTAAAACTGCTTTATACCTTTTCTTTACAGAATAATAAGTTGAAGTATTTGAACCATTTTGTATAAAACTTAAAATGACCTGTTCTTTTATTTACTCATTTATTTTGTATTTCTACAGGACGGACAGTTCCTTCAATTTCTTTGTATTTTTCGTTATTTTTTTCTGCCAGACTATCATTTATATCATACAAGCAGTTGGTATCCCTCACTGGGGTGACAGGTGAGATTGTAATTCTTTGGTTGCAGCTTTCATTTGGGAAGCACTCCTTTTTATAATCTGTTTTTCTTTTTCTTTTTCCAGTGGCTGGATAATGGCACTCACCATGATAAAAAGCAATGTTGCTGTCGCTGTGATTATGATGGTCGTGGCTTCCTTCTTCACTGTCTCTGCTGCCTTCTCTTTGTTCATGCTGAAGAGGGTGAGTGTTCGGTGATACACCTGACCAAAATAGCCACATGATAACTGAGGACTTTTGACTATGGAAAAAAAATAAAAAATGTGCAAGAATCCAGTCAGTGAAGGGACCACCAGATGTTTTTCATTAGCTTTTTGAGATCAGAGACTGGGGTTCGGAAATTTTTATTTTGCATCTACCAAAAAATTGTATTAGTTTTACAGTGTTAAACCAGTTTAACCCATTTTAAGTGGCCTAATGAAAATCTAAGTTTGCATACTGTAAACTGACAGGAGAAAACATTAGGGGTTGTCACCATTAAATTACATTACACTATATGAAGAAACTACTTAGAACTGGTGTCTCCTTTTGTTGTGGGAAAAACACTCCCATGCCAGTTATATTCAATGTAAGAATTTTGACTTCACTATTAATTGTTCCCTGCTTCTATTCCTTAGATTGAGGTAGGTTAGTGCAATAGCTTCAACAAACTGACTGATTGGTGAACCTCCCACTGTGATCAGTCCCAACATAGTAAAGCAAGCCTTATATGATATGATTTTTCTTTCCACAACCACAGGTTGCAGGAAAGAACATCACTTGATTTTCATATCTACACTGTTGGTGCTGATGGGGGAATCCCTCCTGATATACTATTGTGTTCTGCCATCAGGGAATTTTGATTATTGCTGGAGACTAGAACTGCCGGCAGTAATCACATGCAAAGAAAATCCAGAAGGTTGTTTGTAGTGGAGTCGATTGAGGGATCAACTTCAGTACAACCAGTCTGCCCATAGATGGATCGAATCAGTCTTGTTCCTAGGGAGGTCGTCTGCATCAGGTAGCCCCACTTGGAGGGCGCCCTGGTTAAGCCATCTGACATGCAAAGTAGGAATGATATGCACTAAAGAAAGCTAGAACTGTCAGAATGAATAGACGTATAGTGGTGGCTGGTGGGTGGAGGCAGCAGGGTGGGAGTGTGGTGCTCTGGTAAGTAACCACTAAACACCAATGCTGGAGGGTTTTTTAATACAGTCTATGTCTTCCACTGACCAATATATATACTTGTTGGGTACTTGTTTCAGCTTAAGCTTGTCACTGACCACCATTGCTATGTGTTGTATGTGTATGTTTTTGTTTTAAATATTACAGTCTGTTTCCCACTGACCAATCACGCTGGGGCTATTGCACCCTGACACTCAATAAAGGGGGGATTTTTGCGGCCACTTACCCCAATGCTGGGGATTACTATTGTTGTCGTGACACCAGTAATGGTGTTTATTTCAGTCCCATGCTACAAGCCATACACCATAATGCAGGGGTGTCAAACTCCATTTCATTGCAGGCTGCATCTGCATTATGGCTGCCCTCAAAGGGCCTGTCGTATCTGTAAGATTTCATAAATGTATCTACTCTTTATTATAATACATAATTGCCTCTGCATTCAATTATTACTGATTTTAGTAATAACTTAAGACCTAAAGTGGTTGTAAAGGTAAAAGGTTTTATATGCAGTTTACCCCCATCCGCCCCCCGGCCGCTGCCCTCCTAAATACTCACTTGAGCCTGATCTCCATCCAGCGCAGTGCACGTTGGCAGGAGATCTTCTCCCCACTGGTGTTTAGACACGTACTGTAAAGCAATGCCAATTTTATGGGCCACACATCCTGATATTCTGGCAACTCTGCAGGGAATAGCCCTTCAGAGCTCTTGGAGGTCAAGTGGATGGATAACCAAGTTCATTATCTTTGCATGAAGTTGCGATTCTACTTACAGCTTCTGCTGCCTGCCTACCAATGGCTTATTCTGCTTCTACTCCAGCCCCAACATTTAATTTCATGATTGTTACTAAAAATAATTTTGGTGGGAGTATAAAATTAACCAGTATCCAGATTTCCTAGGTATGCCACTGGATTGGTATACAGGTGAAACTCGAAAAATTAGAATATCGTGCAACAGTTCGTTTATTTCAGTAATGCAACTTAAAAGGGGAAACTAATATATGAGATAGACTCATTACATGCAAAGCAAGATAGTTCAAGCCGTGATTTGTCATAATTGTGATGATTATGGCTTACAGCTCATGAAAACCCAAAATCCACAATCTCAGAAAATTAGAATATGACATGCAATCAATAAAACAAGGATTGTACATAGAACAATATCGGATCTCTGAAAAGTATAAGCATGCATATGTACTCAGTACTTGGTTTGGGCCCCTTTTGCAGCAATTACTGCCTCAATGCGGCGTGGCATGGAAGCTATCAGCCTGTGGCACTGCTGAGGTGTTATGGAAGACAAGGATGCTTCAATAGCGGCCTTCAGCTCTTCTGCATTGTTCGGTCTTATGTGTCTCATCTTTCTCTTGGCAATGCCCCATAGATTCTCTATGGGGTTCAGGTCAGGCAAGTTTGCTGGCCCACCACGCACAGTAATCTCACGGTCATTGAACCAGGTTTTGGTGCTGTTGGCAGTGTGGGCAGGTGCCAAGTCCTGCTGGAAAATGAAGTCCGCATCCCCATAAAGCTCATCTGCAGAAGGAAACATGAAGTGCTTCAAAATCTCCTGGTAGACGGCTGCATTGACCCTGGACTTAATGATGCACAGTGGACCAACACCAGCAGATGACCTGGCTCCCCAAATCAACACAGACTGTGGAAACTTCACACTGGACTTCAAGCATCTTGCAGTGTGTGCCTCTCCATTCTTCCTCCATACTCTGGGTCCTTGGTTTCCAAATGAGATGCAAAAGTTGCTCTCATCAGAGAAGAGGACTTTGGACCACTGAGCAACAGACCTGGTCTGTTTTTCTTTAGCCCAGGTAAGATGCTTCTGACGTTGTTTGAGCGGCTTGACAAGAGGAATACGACCTTTGAAGCCCATGTCCAGGATCCGTCTGTGTGTGGTGGCTCTTGATGCACTGACTCCAGCCTCAGTCCACTCCTTGTGAACGTCCCCAACACTTTAGAATGGCCTTTTCCTGACAATCCTCTCCAGGCTGCAGTCATCCCTGCTGCTTGTGCACCTTTTTTCTTCCACACTTTTCCCTTCCACATAACTTTCTATTAATGTGCTTTGATACAGCACTTTGGGAACATCCAACTTCTTTTGCAATTACCTTTCGAGGCTTTCCCTCCTTATGGAGGGTGTCAATGATGGTTTTCTGCACAACTGTCAGGTCAGCGGTCTTTCCCATGGATTGTGCTTCCTACTGAACCAGACTGAGAGACCATTTAAAGGCTCAGGAACCCTTTGCAGGTGTTATGGCTTAATTAGCTAATTAGAGTGGGACACTTTGAGCCTAGAATATTGCACCTTTTCACAATCTTTCTAATTTTCTGAGATTGTGGATTTGGGGTTTTCATGAGCTGTAAGCCATAATCATCACAATTATGACAAATCATGGCTTGAACTATCTTGCTTTACATGTAATGAGTCTATCTCATATATTAGTTTCCCCTTTTAAGTTGCATTACTGAAATAAATGAACTTTTTGCACGATATTCTAATTTTTCGAGTTTCACCTGTATGTGCATTGGTTTGTCATTGAAGATGAATGGCATCTCACGGCAGTGTAAAGTCTGACAGCAGTAAACTGAAGGACATACCAGGAGATGCCTGCAATTCTACCTTAAGCTGTGTGCATATTTGTAGGAAAAACAGCCAGTCCTACAAGCAGGAAGTTTAATTAATTAATAGGGGATGGTTCTGTGTACAAAATGTACAGAATTCTTCGGAAATGTTAATTTAATGGCAGTTTAAGAGTATCATAATTTTCTGCCAATAGAAATGGATCCTTTTAAATGACATGGAATTCCAAAATGCTATGTTTTATTTATTATGTGTGCTAATATTTCCACTTTCTCTTGGCTGTCTCTGACAGGTTCACTCAATGTACCGCCGGACAGGTGCCAGCTTCCAGAGAGCACAGGAGGAGTTCTCCCAGGGTATCCTCTCCAACCGCAATGTGCAGAATGCTGCTGCTGGAGCCGCCACCTCAGCTGCAAGGGGGGCCTTCCAGGGCAATTGAGCAACATCATTCCATTGTCTGTCATTGCTCTTATCCTTCTGCCTCCTCCTTCCTCCCCTCCTTAATGCTTTTCCAGGGAGTAAAACTGATTCTGTAAAGCCAATTGCCTCTTTCATGCCCCTGGTGGCAGATTACAGCACTCCACTCATTACCCCTTCCACTAAGAGACTTTATGTAATTCTACATATATAAATATATATATGTAAATATATATATTTCTGACAAGATGAACTAATTTACTTGTTGCTCTTCTTGATCTTTTTTTATGTGGGGCTAAAATATTTTTCGGATTTTTACTTTTATTCTGTGGGGTTGCTTGTGAAGAAAGGGGAATAACTGATATTTTTTGAACCTGTATTTCAAAACTCATGGAATTGTAACTTTGTGAACTATCCAATGTAATGATCTGCTTTATCTGTCACTTGCTGCATTTTTGATGCCCATACTAAGATGTAAAATATGTAGATTCTTTATCTTGTATATTTTCTCCAATATTTTTCAGTTTCTTTGTATTTCTAAATGAATTTAGCAGCCATTTAAGTACTAGTGTTTCTTCTGCAGTAGTGACTTGAGGATGGTGGCTTTAAATTTTCAGATTTCATTAATCATTGCAGCCTGGCTTTCCAAGTCTAATATGGATTGGATTTGTACAAATGTTAAAAGACACATATCATTGTAATATATAACAAAAAGAGCTGTCTTTTAATTCTTCTTTTCAGCCAGTGCTGTCATTAAACAATAATCAAATTGGTGACATAGTTCAGGCCTGGCGGAGGCTTGCTTTATTATGTAGGGAGTGAAAACTGGGAACCTAAAATCACTGCTCTGTGGGTTCAGTTATGACAGCACCAGCTTTCTATGATGTTCATGGCTATTGCCTTGCAGAGCCTAGTGAGTAAAAAAAAATAAGATATTAAATAAACCTCTTTTCTATAATGTGTTTTTTTTTATTCTTGTTTTTTTTGTTACTTTCTAATTGTACGTCAATAACTATCAAGGATCTTTGTGCTTTTTCCCATCAGTAGTGGTCCTTTATGTGATTGTGATTGTACCTAGTCCCTTTTTTTTTTTTTTTTTTTTTTTTTTTTTTTTTTTTGTGATGCGAAGCTTAGATTATATTCTGGTGCTGAAGTGTGAGTCGTAAAGGCTAAGTTCACCTTTGGAACATGTTACATGTTTTGCCTGTGTTTAAGGTGGAACATGTAACTGTGGTTAGCACTTTTGCCTAGCACCACTAGGAGCATCAGTTTGAATCCTAACCATGACACTACCTGCCTGGAGTCTGCATGCTCTCCTTGTGGAATACTTGAAGAAAACCCACACGGGCAGTTTTCTTTCCAAACTCCAAAGACATGCCGGTAGGTTCATTGTGTCCCATATCTAAATTGGCCCTAGTATGTGTATGTATGAATGTGAGTTAGGGACCTTGGATTGTAAGTTCCTTGAATGCAGGGACTGATGTGAAAGTGCAATATATATGTAAAGTGATGTGTAAATTGATAGTGCTTATCTGTAATAAATACAATTTCAGCTCCTGCCTCCTCTTCCCCCCCCCCCCACGTGGCAGCAGCTGGAGATCTTCTCTCCATACCCATTGTCACAATTTGAAAAGAGCGTGGTCATGCGGGGCTCCACCCACACAGCTATGTCCTTCATTCACAGAGTTAATGAACTATGATTACTGTCGTCCACTGCAGCTGACTGCTTGTAGTTCTCAGGGAACTGTGAGGGCACTGGTGAGCACGCTAGTAGTTCATTGATTATTCTTGCAATCTGTAACTGCCTGCCCGCAAAGGAGGTATGGGCAGACAGTGCACTGAGAATCTGCATGAGCCTGGTATTGCACCTGCAGTCTACTGATCACGTGTGCAATGCTTTACAGGCTCCAGTGTATATTAAAAAAAAAAAAAAAAAAAAAGATAAATGCACATTTTTTTTTTTTTTTTTTTTTTTTTTTTTTTACCTGCATGAAGACGTGCATTTATTAATATTATTATTTATTATTAATAATAAATATATAATCTTATCCTTTAAATTCCAACTTATGCAACAGATATTTTTTTTTTTTTTACTGTTTTGGTTAGACTTGGGAGTAAATACATTTTTGAGTTTTTAAATTGGTCTCTGATTCTGTTGAGGGGTTATTTCAGCTCATATCCAATCCCTGTGACTGCCTTTTGACAACAGAATAAGAAAACTGAACTGGTGTCACTGAGACATGAAGATATAGACAGAATAGCTTTACTGGTTCTAACGCTTCTCCAATTTACCGAAAAAGTGTTTTCCAGGCACCAATATGGCAGCAAATTTGGTAGTATGCTGCAATGAATTGGCACCAAGAAAGGGAAATTATGGTAAGTATGTGATATAATTGTCCATTTTCCTGGTGTCAATGTCGCAGAAAAGGAAGTGTTACAATTTTCATTTTTTTTTTTTTTTTTTTTTTGCAGTCTGGAAAATCAGCTTTCTCTCCCAATAGGAATTTAGATTCTGTACATTTCCCTCTCAAAATTAGTTTTGATTGGAGATGGACTATAATGTTCACTTGCTATCAGAGCTGCCAATGCTGACCACATTAAAATGCTAGTTAACTGGAAGTTATGCTGGGTCTGAGGTTTCACATCAGTGGCCTGGAAAAAGTATGTAGTTTATTAAAGTCATGTCTACATAAGACAATGCTATAAGTAACAGTGCAGGAAATTGGTATTTTCAGATGGAGAGGTGGGTCATAGTTTGCTCCATGTTTTTCTCATATCATGTGTCAAAGTCGACTTTTACTCAAAAATATAAATATATATATAAAAAAGTATGTTCCTTAGCAAAGAACATACATTCCACATTAATTATGCAACCAAAACTAGTGTGCTCTGTAAATTGCCTCCAGCCTTGTTCCTGTTTCTTCTTGCTGGAGGTTGCCATTTTGTTGAAGTGCCCCCTGAGCAGCAATTAAAGCAGAACTAAACTCTCCTGTCCTTGCAGCCAAGGAATCTACCATCTGTTTGATCTGCAACTGCCATGGTGGTGCACATGTGATCAGTTATAACACCAGCCAATTGATTGTTTGGTTGAGAACACAAGTAGAGCTGTAAAAAAAAAAAAAAAAACCTCTTGTTTGAGTGCAGTCATTTACACGCTTACACTTGTATATGCAGATGAATATGAGTGTATACGCATACATTGCAACACTGCTGCTAGAACAGGATGAAGAATGTGTTTTTATTCAGGATCTTTCTGCCAGCAAAATCCTGCGTTTAAGGCTCCATGCACATGGGCACATTTCTTAGAGCAAAGCAAAAGCATTGTGTACTTCTGGTGTCCCAGATGTCCTAGATCTGCGTAGTCATAGATATACACTCACCAGCCACTTTATTAGGTAAACCTGTTCAATTGCTTAGTAACACAAATTGCTGATCAGCCAATCACATGGCAGCAACTCAATGCATTTAGGCATCTAGACGTGGTGAAAATGACTTGCTGAAGTTCAAACTGAGCATCAGAATGGGGGGAAAAAAAAAAGGAGATTTAAGTGACTTTGAATGTGGCATGGTTGTTTGTGCCAGCCAGGCTGGTCTGAGTATTTCAAAAACGCCTGATCTACTATGATTTTCTTGCAGACCATCTCTAGGGTTTACAGAGAATGGGCCGAAAAAGAGAAAATATCCAGTGAGCCGTAGTTGTGTGAACGAAAATACCTTGTTGATGTCAAAGGAGAAAGGGCAGGCTCGTTCGAGATGACAGGCAACAGTAACAATATGGAATAAAATCTCCTGAGGAATGTTTCCAACACCTTGTTAAATCTACGCCACAAAGAATTAAGGCAGTTCTGAGGGAAAAGGGGGTCCAACCCGGTACTAGCAAGGTGTAACTAATAAAGTGGCCGGAGTGTGTAAATGGGTGAAGGTGGCTGTATGCATTCAAAGTGCGTTCGGTACATTATATCTGTGTGCATGTGCTACTTTACACAATTAGCTGTATGCCTTCACCCATTCATGTCTATGGCCAGCTGTATGCAGCTCAAGGACACCTGAGACACCAGAAATATATACTGCATGGGGAGAGACCCTCATGTTCATGCAGCTTAAACATTGTCTGTGTGCAAGAGGCCTTCAAGTAGATGTAAAGTCATAATAGAGCAGACTTCTTTATGACAAAAGAGATAACTGTATGCCTCTTCTGATCTCCATGACTGGCAGCTCAGTGTCTGTCTGGTGCCAGGAAGGGTTGCCACCCTCCATGGCTTATTTACTGACAAAACATAAGTATCCTGATGGAGCAATTTGTTTTTACTGACCGTTTGAAATATGACAGAAATGCCTATTATTAACTAAGGAAATTGATAATTAACCAGTAAGTGGGAACTCTGATGTAAAAGGAGGGGGGGGTGTTGATGACCAGAGTCTCCCCTTTCATCAGAGTTCCCCCTTAAACCAGAATGCAGAATACCAGTGTCCCCTCCTTACCTTAGGATCCCACTTCTCTTACATTTGTGTCACCCCTTACCTTAGTGTAGCAATAGAGGGGAATGCTGACATCTCTGACAGTAGCACATTATGGCAAAATGCTCAGGACGGCCCAAATGTTTCTTTTTATTTGATGATTTACTTTAATAACCCAAAAATAATTGGTTGTTATACAGGATTTATAAAGCACCAACAGTTTGCACAGCACTTTACAACCAGAGGGCAGACAGTACAGTTATGATACAATTTAACCACTTGCCTACTGGACACTTTTACCCCCTTCCTGCCCAGGCCAATTTTCAGCTTTCAATGACGATTGCGCAGTCATGCAACACTGTACCCATGTGAAAGTTTTGTGATTTTTTTTTTTTTTTTTTTCCCCCCACACAAATAGAGCTTTTGTTTGGTGGTATTTAATCACCACTGAGTTTTATTTTTTGCACTATAAATGAAAAAACAAAAATTGTGAAAAAAGGTGTTCTTTGTTTCTATTAAAATATTTTGCAAACAGGTAATATTTCTCCTTCACTAATGTGCGTTGATGAGGCTGCACTAATAGGCAGCAGTGATAAGAAGGCACTGATGATGCTGCACTGATATTCAGCACTGGTAAGTGGCACTGAAGGGCACTGAATAGCTGGCAGTACTGACATTCACTGATGGGCAGCACTGTTGGGCACTGATAAGCAGCACTGTTGGGCACTTTTGGGGCTGCACTAATAATCAGGGCCTGATAACCAGTGCCCTTATTAGTGCAGATGTCTGCTTTGACAGTTGCTGATTACCAGCAGTACTTTCCTCATGCTGTGACAGCATGAGGAAAGTACTACTGATAACTGGCAAGTGTATTTACATAGTGGTCAGCTGGAATTGGACACCATGTTGTGATTAGCTGTGTCCAAAGGACACAGCAATCACAGACTGTGCCGGGTGCGCAGCTGGGGGCACCTTTTGGGAGGACGTCATATGACGCCCTCCCAAAAATGGACTGCCTCGGTGTAATCGTCATTCGGCTATAGCGCAGTAGTAAAGTGGTTAATACAGGAGGAATCGGAGTGCCCTCCTCATTGGTGCTTACAGTCTAAGAGGGAGGATCAAGAGATACAAAAGATAATAACGGAGGGGGATGGGCTGATGGAGAAAATAAAAATACAGTTGTTAGGTGGAGGCAGGATAGGCTTCTCTGAAGATTAGGGTTTTTTTGGGGGATAGCCTAAAAGTGGACAGAGTAGGGGACAGTCGAACAGATTGGGGTAGGGAGTTCCATAAGACTGTAGAGGCTCGGGAGAACTCCTGGGAGCAAATATGGGAGAAGGTGGGAAAGGGAGCTAGAGAGCAGGAGGTCTAGGGAGGAAGGAAGAGAACAATCAGGTTAGTATTTTGAGAATAAGCTAGTGATGTAGCTTGGGACAGAGTTGTGGATAGCTTTGTAAAGGTGGCCATACACTATGCAATCTGATTGTACCATCTCTGTACAATCTCCTTTAGATTTAACAAAACTATAGAATAAGAGGACGCACCATTTATCCAATTACTCTGTATCCAATCAGACAGGCCCTTGCCCTACATAGTTGATGGTAGATCTAAAGGAGATTATACACCCTGTTCCAAATTATTATGCAAATGATATTTTTCTCATTTACCTAAATAATTGATGTAAATAACAGTCAGCATAATTCTCATGTTATCAACTATTAAGAGTACAATTCACATTTTATTGAACAAACCTCCTAATGATAACAGGATTTTTTTTAAACATTAAAAACTTACAATGCACTGTTCCAAATTATTCCGCACAGTAAGTTTCAAAACACTTTATAGGTTGTAAAGAACTGAAAATTGTCATTTGTTGTGTTTGCAGCATATTTACTGAAATCAAAAGCTATTTCAATCAAACTTTTAACATTTTAAACTTTTTAAACATTCTAACAGGTCACGTTACATTGTAACATAGGACCCCTTATTTGATAGCAGCTTCACAAGTCTTGCATCATTGAACTTGTAAGTTTTTGGACAGTTTCTGCTTGAATTTGTTTGCAAGATGTCAGAATAGCCTCCCAGAGCTGCTGTTTGGATGTAAACTGCCTCCCACCCTCATAGATCTTTTGCTTGAGGATGCTCCAAAGGTTCTCAATAGAATTGAGGTCAGGGGAGGATGGAGGCCACACCATGACTTTCTCTCCATTTATCCCCATAGCAGCCATTGATGCAGAGGTATTCTTTGCAGCATGAGATGGTGCATTGTCATGCATGAAGATGATTTTATTACGGAACGCATAGTTCTTCCTTCTGTACCAGGGAAGAAAGTGGTCAGTCATAAACTCCACATACTTTGCAGAGGTCATCTTCACACCTTCGGGGGCTCTAAAGGGGCTGACCCGCTCTGTTCCCATGATTCCGGCCCAAAACATGACCACCACCGCCTTGCTGATGTCGCAGCCTTGTTGGAACAGGGTGGCCGTCCACCAACCATCCACTACTCTATCCATCTGGACCATCCAGGGTTGCACGGCACTCATCAGTGAACAGGACTGTTTGAAAATTAGTCTTCGTGTATTTTTCTGCCCAATGCAGCCATTTCTGCTTGTGAGCATTGGTTGCCGAATAGAAGGTTTATGCACAGTTGCAAGACTCTGGAGGACTCTACACCTTGATGTCCGTGGGACTCCAGAGGCACCAGCAGCTTCAAATATCTGTTTGCTGCTATGTAATGGTATTTTAGCAGCTGCTCTCTTGATCCGATGCATGGATCTGGCAGAAATCTTCCTCAATGTGCCTTTATCTGCACGAACCCGTCTGTGCTCTGAATCAGCCACAAATCTCTTAATAGTGCGAGGATCACGCTTACGTTTTCATGAAATATCTAATGTTTTCATACCTCGTCCAAGGCATTGAACTATTCACTCTTTTCGGCAGCAGAGAGATCCTTTTTCTTCCCCATATTGCTTGAAAATGGTGCTCTGCTTAATAATGTGGAACACCCTCCTTTAGTAGTTTTTCCTTAAATTGGGCTCACCGGCCAATCTAATTATCACAGGTGTCTGAGATTGTTTTCAGTGATCAAAAGAGCCCTGACACACAATGCCATCCATGAAAAACATGGAACTGAAAAACAAAATATTTAATCTTTGTGACACTTAAATAGAATTTGCATAATAATTTGGAATGCGGTGTACAATCAGATTGTAAAGTATATGGTGAGCATTAGTATTTCGAAATGTATTTGTTGGGTGAGCAGAAGCCAGTAGAGGGATTGGTGTAGAGCGGTGGCAGACACTGAGCGATTGCTAAGGTGGATGAGTCCAGCAGCAGCATTCATGATAGACTGAATGGGAGGTAGCCTTTGTAAGCCCTGGTTCACATCTATGCGGTCGTGCAGGCTGCGATTTGCGCAGGCAGGAGAGCCCATTCATTTGAATGGACTCCTGTGCCCCGGTACACGCAAGGAAAAAGTCCCTGCACTATTTTAGAAATCGCAGCCCACACAGGAACCGAGGATCCCAGTATGGTTGCGATTTCCAGTGCGGGCGGCGTGCACCTACCTGCAGGTCCCGCATTCCTCTGTGTGGGTGGTGCGGCTGCAGGTGTTTGTGCGGGTCCCGCATTACTCTTTGTGGGTGGTGCAGCTACAGGTGTTTCTGCGAGTACCGCATTCCTCTTGTGTGGGTGGTGCATTCCTCTGTGTGGGTGGTGCGGCTACAGGTATTTGTGAGTCCCGCATTAATCTTGTGTGGGTGGTGCGGCTGCAGGTGTTTTGTGTGGTCCCGCATTACTCTGTGTGGGTGGTACAGCTACAGGTGTTTCTGCGAGTACCGCATTCCTCTGTGTGGGTGGAGAGGCTGCAGGTATTTGTGAGTCCCGCATTAATCTTGTGTGGGTGGTGCGGCTGCAGGTCCCGCATTCCTCTGTGTGGGCGGTGCGGCTGCAGGTGTTTGTGAGGGTCCCGCATTCCTCTGTGTGGGCGGTGCGGCTGCAGGTGTTTGTGAGGGTCCCGCATTCCTGTGTGGGCGGTGCGGCTGCAAGTGTTTGTGTGGGTCCCGCATTCCTCTGTGTGGGCGGTGCGGCTGCAGGTGTTTGTGAGGGTCCCGCATTCCTCTGTGTGGGCGGTGCGGCTGCAGGTGTTTGTGGGGGTCCCGCATTCCTCTGTGTGGGCGGTGCGGCTGCAGGTGTTTGTGGGGGTCCCGCATTCCTCTGTGTGGGCGGTGCGGCTGCAGGTATTTGTGGGGGTCCCGCATTCCTCTGTGTGGGCGGTGCGGCTGCAGGTGTTTGTGGGGGTCCCGCATTCCTCTGTGTGGGGCGGTGCGGCTGCAGGTGTTTGTGGGGGTCCTGCATTCCTCTGTGGGTGGTGAGGCTGCAGGTGTTTGTGAGGGTCCTGCATTCCTCTGTGTGGGTGGTGCGGCTGCAGGTATTTGTGTGGGTCCCGCAGTGGCACCACCCGCACACATGTGAACCGGGTGTAAAGAGAATCCAATAAACACAGACATGTTAAACAGACTGGTACTTTTTCAGAACAGCAAGTGTCATCACTGAGACATGATATAGGCGGGATGGAAGGTTCGGGGCCCTCTCTCTGCCATGTGTGGACAGTATTGGCGGTAATAGTCTTCCACCGATAGATGGCAGCAGCGCACAGGGTCGGGTCCTCCATCAGCTGTCCCAGGTGCGGAGTGTGTCTTTAACGTAAACACGGAAGTGGTCGGTGCGGAGAGGATCCCGGCGCCGGGAGGGGATGCCGGGCTGAGCTCACAGCATACCCGGGAGCGGCTGTACATGGCACGCTATGGCAGGCTGGGCTCCCCCTCGCCTGGAGGACTTTATACTGACTGACAAGCTGGGTAGTGGCACCTATGCCACCGTGTACAAGGCCTACAGGAAGGTAAACACAGCTGGGGGCTGACTCCTGGTGTACTCCTCCCCCCTCATACAGTGTATGGACTTCTACAGAGCTCCATGGTCAGTCCTGCGCATGCTGTACACTGTCACCGATGTCAGGACTACTCCATAGACTTGTATGGAGTGTAGCTGGGCGGACAACAGGGATGAGCTGTGCTTTGCTGGGGGCGGCAGTGGCCTCTCCCTTCCAATCACCTGCAGCCAGGGTGGTCCACGCCCCCAAAACCACAGCCACACCCTATGTAAAGGGACAGACTCCAGAAACCATTGACCTAATAGGACCACATTGGACCCATAAGGTCCCAGGCATCTCCTTTGTGTACATGCAGCTACAAGGAATACCCTGGCCACAGGTGATTGGGTGGCAGTGCCAGCTTCCTCCCAGGATCACTGGGAACCCAGTTCAGACTAGGCTGCACCGATGCCTGGTATTACCGGCAAGTACGAATACCGATACTTGTGCCCAAGATACTGCCGATTCCATTTCTGATACCTTTTGCGGTGTGATTTGAGTCCATGCAAAATGAATGGCTCAAATTGCACTGCAAAGAATCGCATATGATTTGAACAGGAATGTGGTGCAATTTCTATCCAGATCACATGCGGTTTCCCCCACCACTGCTGTGTGAACCCAGGCTGAAGTCACTATGATAAGCCTGGGTTCACAGAGGAGCAGTGGAGGAAGCGGCATGTAATTCTGATGGGAATTACACCGCATTCCTGTTCAAATCATATGCGATTCTTTGCAGGGCAACTTCAGCCCATTTATTTTGTATGAACTCAAATCACACCACAAAGGTATCGGTTTTAGATATTGGGGCATTTGTACTCGTGAAAATACTTAATATCGGTACCACTGCAAACCTAGTTCAGACCAAACCAAAGCTCAGATCTGCACTACATCTGAGCACCACAAAAAAAAACACTCTATAATTAATTTTTATTATTCAGAGCAAACTCCCCCATTTATCCATGTCTCCATGCTTTATTTGTTGAGAAATCACTTTGAAAACACTAGTGATGCATTGATATATTGGCTGATGTTTTGCCGATAGAACAAAAAAAAGGTGCTGATAATGATAATTTGACTTCAATGCAAAATCGCCATCCCATTGGCTTCAGTGACTTCAGTGCACCACTAAAAAAACCCCCATTGCATTCTGGTTGCAGCCATCTTGAGTAAGGGCAGATTATTCATGTAGCATTTACTTACCGGAATCCATCTGCCTTTAGCTCAGGCATGCAGGCTGGAGGGTGTGCTTAGATGAGAAAACCCTTCCTGAAGACTCCTGGGATAAATTACATCAGTTGCCTAGGCATGGAAACCAGGAAGTGATTGAAAAAATAAAAAAAAACCCCCAAAAAAGTATAAAACAAGTTAATAGAATATTCTATTAACTAATGCTAGCAGTATAAGTCAATGTTGATTGAGAGGGTGAAGTTTTACCTTAAACTTTCTTAGTCTTTTGCCATCTGTGTCCTGGTTAGATTTTCCTGACATCCTGTCCCTGAGACACCAAAGGAAGTGACAGGAGAGCTCTCCAAGGAGAGGAGAGCTCTCCAAGGAGAGGAGAGGTCCCCTCTTAGACAGGTGACCCCGTTTTGAAGGTTTCCCCTCTATTTCTGTTTCAGTGAAAACTACATTTTTGGACTTTTTGCTAATTTCTGGTGAAAATGGCAACAGGGCAGAGAGGGTGACTTTCCCCAGCAGGGACAAAGATCGCAAATAAAACCTGAAACAAAGAAAATTTCGCAATGAGGGTTCTTGAGAGTTATCGCTAACACTTAAAGTGGTTGTAAACCTTTACATATATCCAGTGAAGTGATTGGCCTCAGGTGATACACAGATGAAACTAAGTTGTACCTGTCTGCAGTTTTCTCTTCTCTACAGCCCTTCAAAGTGCAGAATTTATACAGCTTGACACACACACACACACACACCACACCACACCCCACCCCACCCCCCCCCCCCGGCTGTCAATTTCAGGTTGTATGCCGGAGGGTCCCTCCCATGCCGTCTTTTCTCTTCTCTTGGTATCAGGAAAGCTTGTCAGAAGTAACTCATGCTGATAGCAGAGAAACATGGCAGCAGACAGAAATGACACTTAGTGCTCTGGATTGAGACACACACTATGTGTTTACTACTAAATGGGGATGCATCAATACCCTTTTTTTTTATCGGCAAGTACGAGTACCGTTACGTTCGATCAAGTACTCGTCAATACCGAGTACCGATATTTTGCAGTGCGATTTGCTTTCATACAAAATAAATGGACGCAAATTGCACTGCAAAGAATGGCATGCGATTTGAACAGCAAGGCGGTGCTATTCCTGTTCGAATTGCATGCAGTCTCCCCAGTGCTCTTGTTGAACCCAAATTACTTGCCTTGCCCCGGGAGCTGACAACCCATGCTACACAAAAAAACAAAACTAAAACTGGCTAATTTTGTTTTATCTTGCTCCTAGATTCAAAGCAAATTTGTCAAGCTCTGAGTGTGTGCGGTAAATTGCTTCCAGCATTGTTCCTGTTTCTTCTTGCCGGAGGTTGCCATTTTTTCTGAAGCTCAAAGCTCCTGAGCAGCAGTAAATTTTCAGACTTTCAGCAGATCAGCCTCTAGTGGCACTGATTTTTTGGCGCAGTGCTGTATTACTAGATTTTAAACAGTACACCCAGAGCTTTCCGTGATCACTGTGTCCTTCGGACACAGCTGATCACATGATCAGGTAAAAGGCCAATCACAGCGGCCCTTTAACACGTGATCAGCTATGTCCATGACACAATAGATCAGTGAGTAAATACAGTTGCCGGTTATCGGCTGCACTTTCCTCACGCTGTCACAGCATGAGGAAATTACTGCCGATAACCGGCAATTGTCACAGAGCAGATCAACACTGATGATCGGTGCCCAGCAGTGCCCCCCAGCGGTGCCGCCTATCAGTGCCCATCATTGCTGCATATCAGTGCCTCATCAATGCCCACCAATGGCGCCTCATCAGTGTCACCTCATCAGTGCTGCCTATCCGTGCTACCTTATCAGTGCAGCCTCATCAATGCACATCAGTGAAGGAGATTTTTTTTATGTTTGCAAAAAAAAAAATTTTCACATTTTTTTTGCTTTTTTTTATTTATTTATTATTGTGTAAAAAATAAAATACCCAGTGACAAATAATACCACCAAAAGAAAGCTCTATTTGTGTGGAAAAAAATGTCATATGGGTACAGTTTTGCATGACCCGCGCAATTGCCATTCAAAGTGTGAGAATGCTGAAATCTGAAAAGTGGCCTGGGCACGAATGGGTTAAAAGTGCCCAGTAGGCAAGTGGTTAAAACATATTTATTATGCTTTAGAAAAGAACTCTATGAGCATAAAAATACAGGTCCATATATTCATTTCTGAACACCTATATGCACCGCTCCAATGAGATAATACTGAACTGTGAAGAAAATTCCTTAATGAATCTGCGTTTTCCAGCTTCTCTGCTCCTCCCCTGATAAAATCCCAATTTATGGGTGTGGAGTTCTAGTGCGCCTAGGAGGCACAAGTGCAATGTGTCAAAGTCTTTGACATGCTGTGGCTGGACAAAGCTAAATTCTGTACGGTGTGGTGCTTCAGTGGTACAAGGCCCTTTGTATTCAGAGACAAATGCCTGGAAGATAGGTCTTCTGGATTCTGAGCATAGGGTCTTAAATGTCAGTACCACTTGGTACAGAGACAAGCCCAGTCCAGCTGCAGCATGCCACCTACATAGACTGGTTGCAGGCAGCGGGGCTGAAAACTGCACCTGTGCCTCCTGGATGCCCTAAAACCCTGGGATGCGTGCACAGCAGCTAGATGCTCCTGTGTGCATGAAGAGGACATGCCCAGTAAATTTAGAAATATTATTTCATTATTAATTGATAGCTTAATTACATTGTTTTGCTCAGTAGAGATTTCTTTCAAGCGTTATTATGTTATAAAGTAGTGAAAAAACACAGCAAGGCTCTGGTGGGCAGCAGCCCTATTCTAAGCATTGGGTGGCTGACAGCTCCCACAGCTAATTGCATATAATCACTAGTGGAGCGATTACCTGAGAATGTTCAGCCCTGGATGCAAGCGGGAACTGTTAACCTTCCATTGCTTTCAATGGGGCTTCTGTCCGCCTGCTTATCTCTGGGAACCCCCTCTTAGTCTTTCGCATGTAATCACTAACGGTCCCATTCCCAAGTATGTAAACCCAAACAGTGAATTTCTCTTTTTTTGGTTCCTTTTGAACTGTGAAATATTCTTTTTCTAAGCATTTTGTTTTTTATCTATTGATATGGGCGAAAAAGCCTATTGACCTTGCTCGCCAAAAATCTTGTTAGTTAGCTGGTAAGTAATCTATGTTTTGGAGAATAGGAAAGGGGGAGACTTTTCAAAGTCCTGTCCTGTTTGTCACCCTAGGCCAGGGAATGTGTTTCTGGTAGGATCACAAGGTGACAATACAATAAGTGTAAGAAAATGAATATAGCCACTACATCTAAAAACTGTTAGGCTATAACGTAACATTCTGTTTTTTAGTCAAATGTCACTTTAAACAAGCTTGTCAGGTCTCGGTCATTGTATCAGTAATATGTCCTTTGTGCACTTTTCTTTTTTCATACTATTAGCGGAACATGCGGGAAGTGGTAGCTATTAAATGTGTCAGCAAGAAAAGTCTGAACAAAGCATCTGTTGAGAATCTCCTAACAGAAATCGAGATTTTGAAAACCGTTCATCACCCCCATATACTGGAGCTCAAGGACTTCCAGGTTAGTGTCTACAGTTCTCCATTGCCAGAGTGTGTTTGTATTCTAGAAAACCTGACCAAATCTAGAAAACTCTACTCGCCTGGCTGTCAACCTCATCATTTAAAGTGCAGTTCCACCCAAAAGTGGAAGCTCAGCTTATCTGCCTAACCTCCCCCTTCACTGCCACATTTGTCACATTTTGGGGGAGGGGGTGCGGGTACTTGGTATTGACAGCTACCCGCTCCTACTTCCAGCTCAGGTCACCACAGCTGGAAGTTTGCCCCCAGCCCCCCCCCCCCCTCCCTCCCCGTAGCCAGTTGCAGAGGACTGCAGCCCATTCACAAAATGCAGCGTGCTTCCTGCATGCACAGTTAGAAACATTTGTGAAGCTGCAAGGCTTCACTGCCAGTTTTCCTCCGTCAAGATGGCAGCGCCAGCACCCGACCGCCGATTGAAGTATCAGCTTGCAGTGAGGACAATGCAGGATTCCTAGACAGGCAAGTGCCCTAATATACTAAAAGTCAGCAGCTATAGTATTTGTAGCTGCTGACTTTAATTTTTCTGGCGGGGGGGGCCAGAACTCTGCTTTAACTTCACTACTGTCTGAGTCACTGACTGGGAATCGGCATGCACAAAGTGAAATGGGTGTGAAGTGATATCTCCTGATGTGCAGGCTTGCTTTGGATCCATGACTAAAAAGCATTAAAGTGTATGTAAACCCTCACCCTGTAAAGCAACCCATTCCATTTTAAATATAAATGAAAGGCAAAACGTGTGTGTGTGTAAACCCTTTTTTTTTCCATATTGTGTAAGTCATCGCCATCTGTTTTCAGCTGCATAAGAGCTAGGGGAGAAGAAACAGCATAACACTGATCTTCGCAGTGATAGGCTGTGCAGGGGAGGTGTGTCAAGACAAGTCTGAATTCTCCGCACAGCTAGTGAGCTGACCAGGATTTGCGGTTTTGCCTAGTGTGGTCAGCTTTTAAAAGAAAAGCAGAGGGACTGGCAGGAACACCAGGGATTTCACACAAAGGAAGCTATACAAAGCAAACAGGATACTTTTCATGCAGGTACATATCAGGAATATAAAATGTTGGATTTCCATACTCTTTAAGAGCCAGGGAATAACATTTTGAGAAGGAGATGTTGGCAGTGGTGTCTTCTTCTTTTCTCAGTACTGGTTTGCTTTACCTTTTCTAGTTTGTAATGATGTTATGAGGAAGTTCTGCACAATACAGTTATGACACCTTTTATGACTCATTCTCTATTAATTGACTCCTGATCAGCTTATTTAAATTTATAGCTTAAAATCAATTCTTGCACAAGAAGGTAAAAATGTTCATTCAAGCTGTACCTAAAAATAACAATGAAAGCAATTTTGACTGTTCATGTGACAATAAAACATTTTTTATTTGTTGTCTTGCACTGCATCATGACAGTGGGACCGAGATTACATATTTTTGATCACTGAATACTGTGCAGGAGGAGACTTGTCTCGCTTTATACGATCACGGAGAATTCTTCCGGAGAAAAAATTGTTCAAATCTTTCTTCAGCAACTTGGTGAGTAAATAGACTGGTGCTTTTTTGTTTTTTTTATGCTGTTTTACCCTGTTTTGTCTTTCACTCTCTTCTGGACATTGTAATTCTCTTCAATTTTTCACTTCATTACGTTGTTCTGTGTGCTTTTTTCCCCAAGTATTACAATTTTTCTGTTGTTTTCTTTAACCGCCTCCCGCCTGCCATATAGTACGACGGGCTCATGGTGGTTCTCTCGTTCTGGGAGGACGTCATATGACGTCCTCCCATTCTAACCACACATGTGCGGCTCCGGGAGCGCACAGCACGGCGATCGGCGGTGCACTGTGTCCCTCGGACACAGCGGATCACGATCAATGGAAAGAGCCAAAGATATCGGCTCGGTCATGTGATCAGCTGTGTCCAATCACAGCTGATCACTTGTAAATAGGGAAATGACTGTTATCGGCATTTCTCTACTCACAAGCTGTCACGCTGACAGCTCGAGAGGAGAGGAGAGCCGGTAATCGGCATCCCTCAGAGGGGACGTACTGTCAGGGCTCCCGGGTATGACCAGAGGTGTGTGACTGACGCAGGGAAACGCAGACCTCAGATATGTTATAAACTATATAATTTATTAACACTAACAATACAAACATAAACGCAGTGCAATACCAAAACATAACACAGTGCAAACAAACCCAACCAACCACCCACAGATAACAGTACATACAATGCAAGCGTCGTCAGGCAGGCCGGGTCAATATCAATTGGGCAGGTAGGTACAGGGGGAGCAAGCGCGGAGAATGGTCGGGGTCACAAGCCAGGTTCAGCAGGTAGCAGACAGCGAGGTACAGAGAGTCAGGCAGAGGGATGGTCAGACAAGCCAGGGATCAGGAACAGGAGAATGGTCAGACAAGCCAGGGATCAGAGCAGGGTCAGCAGAGAATCAGACAGGAACAGGGAGCAGGAACAGGAAACCGGGCCCAGGAAAACCACACCAAGGCAGAGTCTGCAGGTCTGAATGTCCCTTAAATACACCAGTATAATTAGTTCCAGGTGTTTGACTGGCTGCAAAGTTGAGTCTCTGATTGCTGGGATCACCCGCTGGCCAGCCCTGGTACTGCAGCTCACAAGGCAGGTGAGTCCCACTATTGCTGGCCAGTCCATTCCTGACAGTACCCCCCCCTCAAGGAGCGGCCTCAGGACGCTCCAAACAGTCCTAGCTGGGCAAAATGTTCCACCGCCGGGTCTGGTAACTGGCGGGATATCAAAGACTGGCACACCGGGCAGGACTCCGGGCAGGGGCACACCGGGCAGGGGCACACCGGCTGGACTCCGGGCAGCGGCACTCCGGGCAGAGGCACTCCGGGCAGCGGCACTCCGGGCAGAGGCACTCCGGGCAGGACTCCGGGCAGAGGCACATCGGGCTGGACTCCCGGCAGAGGCACATCGGGCTGGACTCCAGGGCAGGGGCACATCGGGCTGGACTCCGGGCAGGGGCACATCGGGCTGGACTCCGGGCAGGGGCACATCGGGCTGGACTCCGGGCAGGGGCACATCGGGCTGGACTCCGGGCAGGGGCACATCGGGCTGGACTCCGGGCAGGGGCACATCGGGCTGGACTCCGGGCAGGGGCACATCGGGCTGGACTCCGGGCAGGGGCACATCGGGCTGGACTCCGGGCAGGGGCACATCGGGCTGGACTCCGGGCAGGGGCACATCGGGCTGGACTCCGGGCAGGGGCACATCGGGCTGGACTCCGGGCAGGGGCACATCGGGCTGGACTCCGGGCAGGGGCACATCGGGCTGGACTCCGGGCAGGGGCACATCGGGCTGGACTCCGGGCAGGGGCACATCGGGCTGGACTCCGGGCAGGGGCACATCGGGCTGGACTCCGGGCAGGGGCACATCGGGCTGGACTCCGGGCAGGGGCACATCGGGCTGGACTCCGGGCAGGGGCACATCGGGCTGGACTCCGGGCAGGGGCACATCGGGCTGGACTCCGGGCAGGGGCACATCGGGCTGGACTCCGGGCAGGGGCACATCGGGCTGGACTCCGGGCAGGGGCACATCGGGCTGGACTCCGGGCAGGGGCACATCGGGCTGGACTCCGGGCAGGGGCACATCGGGCTGGACTCCGGGCAGGGGCACATCGGGCTGGACTCCGGGCAGGGGCACATCGGGCTGGACTCCGGGCAGGGGCACATCGGGCTGGACTCCGGGCAGGGGCACATCGGGCTGGACTCCGGGCAGGGGCACATCGGGCTGGACTCCGGGCAGGGGCACATCGGGCTGGACTCCGGGCAGGGGCACATCGGGCTGGACTCCGGGCAGGGGCACATCGGGCTGGACTCCGGGCAGGGGCACATCGGGCTGGACTCCGGGCAGGGGCACATCGGGCTGGACTCCGGGCAGGGCAGGGGCACATCGGGACTGGACTCCGGGCAGGGGCACATCGGGCTGGACTCCGGGCAGGGGCACATCGGGCACATCGGGGCTGGACTCCGGGCAGGGGCACATCGGGCTGGACTCCGGGCAGGGGCACATCGGGCTGGACTCCGGGCAGGGGCACATCGGGCTGGACTCCGGGCAGGGGCACATCGGGCTGGACTCCGGGCAGAGGCACATCGGGCTGGACTCCGGGCAGAGGCACATCGGGCTGGACTCCGGGCAGAGGCACATCGGGCTGGACTCCGGGCAGAGGCACATCGGGCTGGACTCCGGGCAGAGGCACATCGGGCTGGACTCCGGGCAGAGGCACATCGGGCTGGACTCCGGGCAGAGGCACATCGGGCTGGACTCCGGGCAGAGGCACATCGGGCTGGACTCCGGGCAGAGGCACATCGGGCTGGACTCCGGGCAGAGGCACATCGGGCTGGACTCCGGGCAGAGGCACATCGGGCTGGACTCCGGGCAGAGGCACATCGGGCTGGACTCCGGGCAGAGGCACATCGGGCTGGACTCCGGGCAGAGGCACATCGGGCTGGACTCCGGGCAGAGGCACATCGGGCTGGACTCCGGGCAGAGGCACATCGGGCTGGACTCACGGAAGGCAGGTTCTCGGACGGCAGGCTGACCGGTTTGGATACTGGCAGGATGGTACTGGTTGGAAAGAATTTTTGCTTTTTTCTGGTTTTAACTACTGGAGCACTGCAAGTAAACGCAGGTCTGCAAACGAGTGGAGCAGCTGGAGACAGAGAAGAGCTGGAGGATGGAACAGGGGAAGGAACAGTCGCTACAGAGGGCTTCTTTACAGGGTTAAAGGCAGGATAGGTGTAGCGAGTGGGAACAGGGTACTGACATGCGGTAGATAGCCAAGTATACTGGGCTGTAACTGGAGGTGCTGTTGGGAATGCAGGAGTAGAGCTTTGAGGAAATAGATTAGAAGCAGGACTGGGTCTTTGTAAGCTGACTGAGGCTGGGTGCAACAAATCTGTCCATGTCTGCAGTATGGGTTGAACAAAGCTCAGCTTACACAAAGCCAGTCTGACCAAAGACTGCACTGCGTTTATACAATCTCTTAGTATCTGTGGTGAACATGTGGAATAACGCTCCAGAAAGTAATCCACATCATCCTCTAATAACCATACCAGGGACTCTACCTGGTCTGCACTAAATGGTGGCAAAAATTCATCCCTGCATTCGGGGGTACCAGACGAAACCAACTCAGCACAAACCTGAATCAAAGGTTGCACCTCAGAGAACTCTGTGCCCTGATCTACTAGAACATGAGCGAGCCGTATACATTCTAGCAGTTGATCCCGGGTATACTCCTTCAGAGTCTGATAAGCATACTCCCTGTCATCAAACACTAGCAGATATAAATACGCAACCTCATCCAGATCCATCCTTCCCATCAACAAACCAAGATGGCTTCCCTGTGCAGACACTTCTGGTCAGGATTGGCCTTGGTGTAATGTCAGGGCTCCCGGGTATGACCAGAGGTGTGTGACTGACGCAGGGAAACGCAGACCTCAGATATGTTATAAACGATATAATTTATTAACACTAACAATACAAACATAAACGCAGTGCAATACCAAAACATAACACAGTGCAAACAAACCCAACCAACCACCCACAGATAACAGTACATACAATGCAAGCGTCGTCAGGCAGGCCGGGTCAATATCAATTGGGCAGGTAGGTACAGGGGGAGCAAGCGGAGAATGGTCGGGGTCACAAGCCAGGTTCAGCAGGTAGCAGACAGCGAGGTACAGAGGGTCAGGCAGAGGGATGGTCAGACAAGCCAGGGTCATCAGGAACAGGAGAATGGTCAGACAAGCCAGGGATCAGAGCAGGGTCAGCAGAGAATCAGACAGGAACAGGGAGCAGGAACAGGAAACAGGGCCCAGGAAAACCACACCAAGGCAGAGTCTGCAGGTCTGAATGTCCCTTAAATACACCAGTATAATTAGTTCCAGGTGTTTGACTGGCTGCAAGGTTGAGTCTCTGATTGCTGGGAGCACCCGCTGGCCAGCCCTGGTACTGCAGCTCACAAGGCAGGTGAGTCCCACTATTGCTGGCCAGTCCATTCCTGACACGTACACTGATCATCAGGGCACTGATCAGTGTGCCCTGATCTGTGTAGCCCCAGCAGTGCCACCTGTCAGTGTCCATCAGTGCCAGCTGTCAGTGCTCATCCATGCCACCTGCCAGTGCCCATCAGTGCCACATCAATGCCACATTTCAGTGCCTACCAGTGCACATCAATGCCACATATCAGTGCCCATCTGAGCCAGTCCGTGCCACCTATCAATGCCAGTCAGTCTAACAGTGCCAGTCATTGCCGCCTGTCAGTGCCACCTATCAGTGCAATATGAGTGCTGCCTTTCAGTGCCCATCAGTGATGCCTGTCAATGCCCATCTGTGCCACCTACCAGTTCCTCCTCATCAGTACCCATCACTGCAGCAAAATTTTATAACAAAAACTGAGAAAAAACATTTTTTTTTTTTAAATTTTCAGTGGTTTTTGGTTTGTTTAAGAAAAATAAAAACCCCAGAGGTGATTAAATACCACCAAAATAAAGCTCTATCTGTCACACAAAAAAAATGATACAAATTTCATATGGGTACAGTGTTGCATGACCGCGCAATTGTCATTCAAAGTGCAACAGCGCTGAAAGCTGGAGATTGTCCTGGGCAGGAAGGGGGTATAAGTGCCCTGTAGGCTAGTGGTTAAAATACTCTGGCTTAGTTCAAAAAAAAAAAAAAATTGCTGAGGCAATTAATTACACGTAAAAAGGAGCTAGCAATTTGTTCTTTTTTTTTTCAGTGTCTCTCCTACTCCCAGAAAAATGACAACTTAAATGTGTTTAGCTAATATAGGCAACACTTCCACATTTTAGCTACAGCCTATCTGCTGTAAAGCTCAGCAAAGACTTAGTACTTCTGCTTTGTAGAATGAGACAACCCTCTGGTCAAGGCAGGGATGCCTTGCTTTATTTGAAAGATTAAACTGGTTAATCTGGACAGCAGCTCCGGCAGATATCCCAACATCATTCTTATTGTGCCCAGCACTACTAAGCGCCACAGTACCTAGGTAACTTTAGGTGCCATGTTAAATGCCGTTGAGTAAAGGCCCTTAAAGTGATTCTATCTCTAAACACAAAATGCAGAGCTTTGCTGGTTGAAGATTGTTCACCATCTGACAGTTTCAGGAATGTTTGATGCCCTGACACCTCCTATGCTCTGTGTGGTTCTATCCGCCTGCCAAACACTTCAAGAAAATGTTCCATTACAATACGATGTGGTGGTAGAGGCAGGCTTTGTATTCTTTTATGGCTTTGAGAAAGAATAGCTCAGTGTTTGTATATGTTGCATGGCATAAAGTGCCTAGAGAGTTTGCATAGTGATAAACTTCCTTTTTAGAGAATGAAAGCTAACCCCTCAATGGCAGCCTCTGGTATTTATTCAGGTTTTCTAATGTATATCATGCGTGAGTGTTGGTGCATGTGCATGATCAGAGCAGTTATAAGGCTGATAGAAAAGCCCCAAGTTGTACAGGCAATGTTGGAAATTGACACAAAGTACTATTTTACATGTTCATTTGTACAGTGTTCTGTGATTAATGGAGTTCTCATTTTTTTTTTTACTCTTTTTTTGGTATATAGACCTAGCCTTGTACTTGATATAGGGTAATTCAAATGTAGGTAGGTTACATTTCCAAAGTTTTACATAGTCTTTGCATTATTACTGCTTTCAGCTAGTGCTTTGAAGTTCTTATATGAAAGAAACATTTCCCACTTGGATTTGAAACCTCAGAACATACTTCTCGGGAGTCTGGATAGATCACATTTAAAGCTGGCAGGTGAGTGTTGACTTTATTGGAAGTGATAGAATATCATTTCAAAGAAGTTCTGTTCTCTAATTTGTAACAATACAGTACATTGCTCTTAATTTTTTTGTAGTTTTCAGTAAGGTAGTAATACTGTCTTAACATTTTATTAAAGGATACATTCACTTATTTGCAGGTTAAAAAAAATGTGCATTTATTTATTTTTTTCATATCCTGCAGAGCATCTTGAGAGTCTGCAGGAGCATGACATTGCACCTGTGATCAGTACACTGTCTGCCCATACCTCCCAAATGTGTGGACTGTTACTGAAAAGCAGTAACAAACAATGAACTATAAGGGCACTTACTAGCTCCGTTGCACTTCATTGAAAGCTACAAGCTGTCTAATACGGTGGCATATGGGACTTTTAGCTCTTCATTTACAGAGGAGCCCTGTACAGCCGTGTTGTTTTGAAAATTGTGACAGCCAACGTATGCGAGGAGAGTATTCCCTATCTGATGTCACAATGGGGGATCGGGGCTGGGGGGGTGTGCAGGGCTGCTGCTTTAGTAGCATGCTACACCCTGAAAATGGGTGTAACATGTTACTAAAGGTGAACTTAGCCTTTAAAGTTGAATACACAAACACATTTAGATATCATTCATCCATCATTCTTCATTATCCATCATTCCTAAGGGCCCTTCATGAGTGTCTACAGTACGTCTTGCATTAAAGTGTACTTCCCTTATTTTGGTGTTTTGTTTTTTGTGTTAGTGGGGAAGGGGTTAGACCTCTGTCAGGTCTTTATTACTGTGTCCAACCTCTATTTGTACTGGCAACTATTGTTCTCTAGAAAGAAAGTGAGGGGAAATCCAGAAATTTACAGTTGTCCTTAGTTCATTAGATGAGGGAAATCTTTCAATGGGGACAATTGTCTAAGAGGGTAATTCTCCTCACTTTGGGAGATTTCCTCCTAGCTTCCTGTTGCATGCCTGTGACAAGAAATGAAGGAACATTTCTCCAATAGGATATAGACATCAAAAAGTAAACAGGCAGAGGTTTTAATTATTTTCTCCCTACTCTTCCAAAACTAAATAGAATGGTAATAGTTGTACATACACTTTAAGGCAGGCCATTCATTTGAGTGGGCTGTCAACGCACCAGCACAGAGGAACGCTCTTGCACCTGTTTTTCTGACATAGCACACCACGGTGCACAGTAGTGGGTTGTGGTGGGCTGTGACACAGGTGAACAACATCACAGTACACATAATGTGCGTTAACACAATGCAATGGAGTAAAGTCTGTTACATTGGTGAAACAGGACACAAATTGAAAACTTGGATTCACACAGACACACCATTGTCCTCTCCCTGCCTTATCTCACAAACTATCCAAGTTTAATTACCACTGCTGTGTATGTTTTGTGATTTATCTTTTGTATTTTTTTCCCAGCTATTGTCTTACTTCATATTCTGCTAAAACTTTTTGTATATTAGTACTGCTTGAACCTTGAAGAAAGGGACACATCCTAAATGTTTGTCCTGAAAATTTGAATGTTGGTGAAAATTAAATTATCATGGACAGTACTCCCTTGTTCTTGTTGCAAGTGTACTAATATGGCTACAATGACCTAAAAAATTTGTAGTTTTGAAGAGAAGCTACATTAGTGAACTGTGTATTTAACATTGTTTTTTTTTTTTTTTTTTTTTTTTTTTTTTTAACCAGATTTTGGTTTTGCTCAGCACATGATATCTCAGGATGCGTCCCAGTCTCTGAGAGGATCTCCACTTTACATGGCTCCAGAGATGATCTGCAGTAGACATTACGATGCTCGGGTGGACCTCTGGTCTGTAGGAGTTATTCTTTATGGTAAGATGATAATTCTGGCCTTGTTTGTGTCTGCTCTGCATAAGTGTATGCAGAAGGGACATGGACCTGTCATTCCCCTGCTTACCGGGTATCAGTGGACAGATCCCTTTGCTGAGCAAGTGGATCACTGGCGGAATTTGCCCCGTGTGAAAGGGGATTAATTGTGTAGGCTTTAGGCCTGTCCTCCTGGCCTCAGTAGCTATTGAATCAATGGCATTAAACAAGCCTGCAGCCAGTAAAGTGCATAATAATTTATTTATTTCAGGTTCTTATATAGTGCCGTCAATTTACACAGCGCTTTACACATCTATATATTGTGCATTCAACTAACCCTAAAGGGGTGTACAATCTAAATTCCCTAAATTATATTCATACATACACATACTAGGGCCAGTTTAGACAGGATCCAATTAACCACCAATCTTTGGAGTTTGGGAGGAAACCCGAGTACCCGGAGGAAACCCATGCAGGCACAGGGAGAACATGCAAACTCCAGGCAGGTGGTGCCCGGACTGGGATTTGAACCAATGACCCTAGTACTGCCAGGCGGAAGTGCTAACCATTTAGCCACTGTGCTGCCCCAAATCCAGATAAGTGATTGACATATTTGCATCATTAGTCTTGTTGAAAAAAACTGGATTTTTTTCTATATACTTACCTGTAAAATCCATTTCTTGGAGTACATCACGGGACACAGCAGTCTGTTCATGACTATGTGGGTTATAGGCCACTTATAGGTGAATGGACACTGGCTGACCAATCAGAGAGGCGGTCCTCCCCTATATACTCCCTCCTACACAGGAAGTACTTCAGTTTTTGTAGCAAGCAATGAAATTCCAGAAAGAGGGGCAGGACCTCTGTGTCCCGTGATGTACTCCAAGAAATGGATTTTACAGGTAAGTATGTAGAAAAAAATCCAGTTTTCTTTATCGTATATGACGGGACACAGAGCAGGCTATTCATGACTATGTGGGATATCCAAAAGCAATAAGAAATTTGAGGGGCAGGTGACGCCATGATAGTCACCCTCCATAATCCCTCAGGACTTACTAAGCCGCCCGTAAAACACTGCAGTCAAAGGCAGAATCTCTGCGGCTCTGACAGCCACCTAGTAGAACTTTGTGAATGTGTGAACCGAAGACCCTGTGTCAGCCTTGCAAACCTGAGCCACTGACGCCTGATGGCGGATTGCCCAATATGCCCCCACACTCCTGGTAAAGTGTGCCTTCACCCAAAAGGGTTGTACCTTACCCCCAAATCATGGGCTTGAATAATCAATTGGCTAATCCAATGTGAAATAGTCACCTTGGTTGCTGCCTGCCCCTTCCTAGGCCCCTCTGGCAGCAGGAATAGAGCATCTAACCTGACCTGTGCTGTTACCTTCAAGAAGACCCTTACAACACGTACCACATCCAAGGTGTGCAGAGATCTTTCTCTTGCTGACAGAGGTGTAGGAAAAAATGAGACCAGAACGATGTCCCGATTGCAATGAAAACCAGAAACCACCTTTTGGCAAAAAGGACAGATGAGGTCGCAACACCATCTTATCATAATGCAAAACCAGAAATGGTTCTCTGCAAGAATGAGCTGCCAGCTCCGACACCCTTCTCGTAGAAGTGATTGCCTCTAGAAACAACACCTTATGAGTCAACAGGACCAGTGGAATCTCTCTAGTAGGTTCAAATGGTGGTTTTGCAAAACCTCCAAAACCAAGTTCAGGTCCCAACGACACAAAGGCAACCTGACAGGAGGAGCAGTAAGTATCACTCCTTGTGAAAAAAAGTACGAACCAAAGAGTGGGAATCAGTGGACCTCTGGAAAACCGCTAATGCTGAAACCTGGCTCCTAATGGTACCAGCAGCCAATTTCTTCTGCAAACCTGTTTGAAGAAACAACAGAATCCTACCAATCACATACTTTGGTGGGTGCCATTTGTGAACCTCACACCAGGAAATGTAAGCCTTCCAAGTTCTGTAATAAATGTTCCTAGAGACTACCTTTCTAGCACCCAACACGATGGGGATGACAGAATCCGACACTCTCCTATCCTTCAGGATCTGGGTTTCAATAGCCACACTGTCAAATTTAGCAATCATAAAGCTGGGAGCAATATAGGATCTTGAGACAGCAGGTCTGGCTGATACAGCAAGGACCACGGCCCATCTACTGCCATCTTCACTATGTCCACGTACCAGGCCTTCCTGGGCCAGGCCGGAGCAATCCTTATCACAGAAATAGACTCACCCCGAATCCTGCGTAAGAGACGGGTCAGCAGCTGAATCAAAGGAAAGGCATAAATCGTTGAAAACTGGTTCCAAGAAAATCACTAAGGCATCTACCCTGTCATGTGAGGGTCCCTTACCATGGACACAAAAAGACTGACCTTGTTGTTGAACCTGGATGCTAACAAATCTACATCCGGACATCACCATCGCTGGCAGATTTTCTTGAATAAACTACTTGTGACTGAGATACTCCGCCTGCCAATTTTCCACCCTGAGAATGAATACTGCTGACAAACTTGGAACATATTTCTCTGCCCAGGTCAGAATGTATTTCACCTCCTGCTGAGCACTTCGACTCCTGGTACTGCTCTGGTGGTTGATGTACGCCACCGCTGTAGCATTACATAGTTAGTCTGACTGAAAAACACAAAAGTCCATCCACTTCAACCACCAAAAAAAAAAAAAAAGTTATAATCCTACACCCACAGTTGATTCAGAGGAAAGCAAAAAACCCAGCAAAGCATGATCCAATTTGCTCCTGCAGGGGAAAAAATTCCTTCCTGATCCCCCAAGAGGCAATCGGATATTCCCTGGATCAAATTTATCTATAAATGTTTAGTATCCAGCATGTATTTGTGTATCCAAGAAAGAATCCAGACCTTTTTAAAGCAATCCACTGAGCTGTCCAGAACTAATTCTTGAGGGAGTCTATTCCACATTTTCACAGCTCTTACTGTGAAGAAACCTTTCCATGTTTGGAGATTAAATTTCTTTTCCTCCAGACATAGAGTGCCCCCTTGTCCTCTGTGATGTCCTCAGGGTGAATACCTCTTCACTGAGTTCACTATATGAACCACTGATGTATTTATGCATGTTGATCATATCCCCCCTTAAACTCCTCTTCTCAAGAGAAAATAAATTCAGTTCCTCTAATCTTTCCTTATAGCTGAGCTCCTCCATGCCTCTTATCAGTTTGGTTGCCCTTCTCTGTACTTTCTCCAGTTCCCCAATGTTCTTTTTGTGAATTGGTGCCCAAACTTCAACTGAATATTCCAGATGAATCCACACAGGCCAACCCTGAAGCCTGGATGTCCAATACCTCAGAGCCAGCCTCACTGCTTGAAGTTCCAGGACATTGATGGGTAGAACCCTTGGAACCATGTTCTCTGAACTGTGGCCTCCTCCAGGACAGCCCCCCAACCTGAAAGGCTGGCATAGATGGTTACCAACTTTCACACCACTGACGAAAAGAATCTCCTTCTCTCCAAATTGTGAGTTATCAACCACCAGTTCAGACTTCGCAGTACCTCTGGAGACAGAGATATGCAGTAATCCAGGGCCAGAATCTTCTTGTTCCAAACAGTCAGAATGTACCTTTGCAGCGGTCTGGAGTGGAATTGGCCATAGGGAATAGACCTTGAACAAGCACACTATCTTCCCTAGCAACCTCATATAGAGGTGAATTGAAGGATACCTCTTGGCTTTCAAATTGCAAACCTCCTTCCTAAGGGTGCAACATTTCCCTGGAGGCAGAAATACTTTTGCTTGAACCGTGTCTAGGACTATCCCCAAATACTCCAGGCTCTGCTCTAGTTCCAGGGCTGACTTCTTGAAGTTAAGCACCCAGCCCAGCTGTTCCAGGATCTGCTTTGTAAGGGCCACATCCTGCTTCAGACCTGGCACCAACCGACCTCTAAACAAGAGATCGTCTAGATAACCTATGACAGATACCCCGAGTTCTGAGTAGCCCCAACATCGGAGCAAGAAATTTTTTGTGAAAACTCTGGGAGATGTGACCAGCCCAAACTGTAGTGCTATGAACTGGAAATGCTAAGCCCCTATTGCAAACCGCAGAAATCTTTGGTGAGGAATGAATATCGGCACATGTAGGAATGCATCCTTGATGTCTATGTAGCTAAAAAATCTTCCTGTGAGGAGGCCACTACTGACTGAGCCGATTCCATATGAAAAGACTGGACGTTTAGAAACTGATGTAGCCCTTTGAGGTCCAAAATGGGCCTTATCTCCCTATTTAGGCTTTGGGACTGTAAACAGGTTTCAGCAAAACCCCTGAAACCTTTCATCAGCTGAAACCTCCGTGATCACCCCCTGAGTCAATACGCGCTCGAGTGCCTGTAATAAAGCTCCCTTTTTTTTTTTCTCTGAATTCATTGGCACGTTTGATTTTAGAAACCAGGCAGGGGGAAAGACCCCAAAAAAAAGCAAAAATAAAAACTAGCCAGACATAAGTATAGCAAGAATGTGAGATTTTAAAGGCACAGTAAGAGACCACGATCGTATAAAATATCACAATGTATTGACATAAAACACAGAGTACAGTCCCCCAAAGCATTACAGGGGAAAATAACAAAAAATCTCCCTTTACATGGAGCTTATTGATGTGAACCATAACATATATGCTGGTTATGAGAAAATCGAGGAGGAAGTCAAGAATGGCCTAAAATGTCTGGCTTCTTCAGGACCGGAACTTTTGTGCAAGGGAGAGCAATACTAGTACATGTGAAATACATAAAAACAATCAATGTATCCTAAACTAATTAAGTACAGCAAAATAACATACACAAATTATAACACGTATTGGGCTTACATAGGAGAACATCTAGTCTGGGGGGCAGATGCAGGGAACCCGAATGCGGAAGGGCCTGGGAACCATGGAAAAGATGTCTAAATCCTATAAGACAAGGCACCAGCATGCCACCTGTAGAATATATAGTTGTATTAAGGCTCTCCATGTTCCAATTACCAAGAATTAAAACCTATATCAACTAATGCTCACAATGATACTAAATTTATGCCTCCATATAGCTGGAGCATGAAAGCTCGTACTATAGAGGCAGATGATAATTTTAAAGTAAAAAAAAACATTGGCAAGCCTACAAAAAAACAGCCATATATACAGTATATGCTGCATGCAAGCAAGGGAGTAGTGTAAAATAGGACATAAATGACCACAAACTTACTAATATAGCTGCACAACAGTAAGGAGTGGGTCATATGGGTGATTAGTATGTACTCCAAAGAGTAGGTCCAGAGTCTTAATGGATTATAAACCCTGCTCACATACTGGTACATATAGGAAATCCTCACCTGAGGTGCTATATATATATATATATATATATATATATATATATATATATATATATATATATATAGGTGAGTTAGTAGGTGTATTGTAACACTGAGAGACAGAATGGCAACAAAAAAATTCAAAAGAAATGCTTGTCTAACAAATTGTGCATTGATTTGCATGTTCATGAGGGAAATAAGTATTTGATCCCCTATCATTCAGCAGGATTTCTGGCTTCCAGGTGTCTTTCATACAGGTAACACGCTGAGACTAGAAGCAGTCTCTTAAAGGGAGTGCTGTTAATCTCATTTTGTTACCTGAATAAAAGACACCTGTCCACCAAGGAGCAATCAAACGATCAAGATTCTAAACTCTTCACCATGGCAAAGACCAAAGAGCTGTCCAAGGATGTCAGGGACAAGATTGTAGACCTACACAAGGCTGGACTGGGCTACAAAACTATCGCCAAGCAGCTTGGTGAGAAGGTGACAATTGGTGCAATCATTCACAAATGGAAGAAGAACAGTGAGGAATCATCCCAGAACTACACGTGAGGATCTTGTCAATGATCTCCAGGCAGCTGGTACCACAGTCACCAAGAAAACAATTGGTAAAACACTACGCCAACAACGACTGAAATCCTGCAGTGCCAGCAAGGTCCCTCTGCTGAAGAAAGCACATGTCCAGGCCCTTCCTGAAATTTGCCACTGAACATCTGAATGATGCAGAGGAGGACTGGTTGAAAGTTCTGTGGTCAGATGAGACCAAAATCAAGCTCTCTGCCATCAACTCAACTCGCCGTGTTTGGAGGAGGAGGAATGCTGCCTATGACCCCAAGAACACCATCCCAACTGTCAAACATGGTGGTGGAAACTTTCTGCTTTGGGGGTGTTTTTCTGCTAAGGGGACAGGACAACTTCACCGCATCAAAGGGACGATGGATGGGGCAATGTACCATCAAATCTTGGGTGAGAACCTTCTTCCCTTAGCCAGGGCATTGGAAATGGGTCATGGATGGGTGTTCCAGTAAGACAATGACCCAAAACACATGGCTAAGGCAACAAAGGAGTGGCTCAAGAAGAAGCACATTAAGGTCCTGGAGTGGCCTAGCCAGTCTCCAGACCTTAATCCGATTGAAAATCTGTGGAGGGAGCTGAAAGTTTGAGTTGCCAAACGTCAGCCACCAAACCTAAATGACTTGGAGAGGATCTGCAAAGAGGAGTGGGCCAAAATCCCTCCTGAGATGTGTGCAAACCTAGTGGCCAACTACAGGAAACGTCTGACCTCTGTGATTGCCAACAAGGATTTGCTACCAAGTACTAAGTCATGTTTTGTGAAGGGGATCAAATACTTATTTCCCTCATGACCATGCAAATCAGTGCATAATTTGTTAAACATGCATTTCTTTAGATTTTTTTTGTTGCTATTCTGTCTCTGTGTTACAATACACTGAACATTTGATTTTTAGACTGATCATTTCTTTGTGAGAAGTGTGTGTGTGTGTGTTTGTGTAATTTATTTCAGTTTTAAAATATTACTAAAAATAAAAAAATAATACTCCACCTCCTTAATAACTCTAGATAATCCGGACAAGGAAAGAGCGTGATGCACTTGTATTAAATCCTCTTATATGGTTCCTATAGGGAATATCATAAAAAAGCCATTAAACATCAGTGGGTGTCATATACCCACCGACGTTTAATGGCTTTTTTATGATACTCCCTATTAGGAACCTTTCATAGGAGGATTTAATACAAGTGCATCACACCCTTTCCTTGTCCGGATTATCCTAGAGCTTTCCGAATGGATCCGATTAAAGTCCATGAGTCTCAAAGGAACCGTACTAGACCTTAGGTATGCTTCAGGAGCACAAGCAACATTTTAAGTGACCATCCACCTTACAGACACTGGCGAAAAAACTGAAGTACTTCTTGTGTAGGAGGGGTTATATAGGAAAGGACCTCCTCTGATTGGTCGGCCAGTGTCCATTCACCTATATGTGGCCTATAACCCACATAATCATGAATAACCTGCTATGTGTCCTGTAATGTACGATAAAGAAAAGGAGGAAAAAAAATCCTAAACCTGCAGTTGATCCAGAGGGAGGTGAGACACCATTATAAAACTTGGTACAATTTGATCCAGCAGGTCAGAAATGAAATGCGACGGACAGCTCCATCGATAAACATTGTACAAAATAAGGCAGTATCAGGATGACCGCCCTGAAGCAACTTTAAAACACGTCCGCAAATGACAATTCTGCCTTTGTAGGTTTTCTTTAAGGCTCTGGATTTATATACAATTATTTCACCTTTCTTCTATCACAGAGGCACTTTTTGGGAGAGAGCACCATTTGCATCAAGATCTTTCTCAGAACTGGAGGAGAAGATACGAAGTGCCCAATCTATAGAGGTAAGGAAAAAAAATGAATATGTGCTACTGGTCTTTAAGAACACAGCCTAGCATAACTGTAAGTAGGCCAGTATATAGCCAAGAGCAGTGGTGGCGAACCTGTGGCACGCAGAGCCCTCTCTGTTGGCCAAGTCGCCCCAGCAGCCGAGCATCGGATAACAGCGCACATAGGGGCCATGCGCATGCTCGGAAAGGAGTCGATGATGTCACGAGCCACAACTCGTCCAAGCTTTCGCATGGCCGTCAGTGCGCTGCCAAGGATATATACATATTGGACTGGCTGTGAGTTTTAATACATTTGTTTTTATTAACACAAGATTTTAGCTTGTACTAGTGGCCAGTGGAATTGTGCCCCCTTGTGCTGGTGGCCAGTGGAAGCTCTGTTATTGTGTTTTTATTTTTAAGACAAAGGATGTTAATGTATGGGTTGTTTTTTTCTAAACTAAAACCTCAGTACTTAGGTTTAATTGCAATACTGGCACTTTGCGATAAATAAGTGGGTTTTGTATTGCAGTTTGGGCACTCAGTCTCTAATAGGTTCCCATCACTGGCCTTGAGCTATTGCAGATTAGTTCATGTTTGTCAGTACCCAGGCTACAGCTAGTGCAGGTATGTAGGTGCACAGCAAAGAGTTAGTGGAGGCATGTCAGTACCCAGCCCAAAGTTAGTGCAAGTATGTCAGAATGGAGCCTAGAGTTTGTGCATGTATATTAGTGCAGTTATGTAAGCACACAGCAAGTAAAATAACAAACCTGTTATACTCACTGCTCTCTATGCAATGGTATTACACAGAGTGGCCCCAATCCTCCTCTTCTCAGGTCCCCCAATCCTGGCTTATTCTCTTTCTTATGTGTCCCCATAGCAAGCTGTTTGCTATGGGGATAAATGCGTGCTCGCTCCCGACCTATGTGTTTACGGAGCCACGCTCCATAGACTCACACAGTGGGACTTAGCCCCACCCTCTCATTTTACTCTTCACCGCACTTGATTGACAGTAGCAAGAGCCAATGGCTCCTGCTGGTGTTCGAGTCCCTGTGTGAAGAGGAAGCGAGGGGAGAAGGGATACAATCATGTACAGCGCTGATCTCTTCTCCCCTTTCTTCCCCTTCACACAGGGAAAGGGGATCACAGGGAAATTAAAAACATTTTTTTCCTTAATGCAAGCAATGCATTAAGGTAAAAAAAATCCTGTTTAAGTTTAGGATCACTTTAATGCAGGTATGGAAGTGCACAGCCTAGTGTTAGTGCAGGTATGTCAGTACACAGTGTAGAGGTAGTGAAGGATAAACGTACACAGCCTAGAGTTAGAGTAGGTGCAAGATGCCCAATTATTTTCTTTTAGAACTATTTCAAGATGTTAAAGGGAAAATATATTAGTTTGCGTCAATTTTTTAAATGTTTTTGAATGAATTCTCAATGGGTCTTTTGTTATTAGCTTCCTGCAAGGCCTCGGGTGTCCCCTGAATGCCGGGATCTCCTTCAGCGACTCTTGGAGAGAGACCCAGATCATCGTATCTCCTTCCCAGACTTCTTCAACCACCGTTTGTAGATTTGGAGCACATGCCCTGTGCAGAATCCTTACAGAAAGCTGTGAGTGAAAATTGCCTTGTCTGTATATGTAATGGGTACTGTTAATTATTCTTGTACATGTTTTCTTTGTGTTGTTTAAATGTGGTTACTCTTACAGACATCTCTGGTGGCTGAGGCAGTGGAGAAAGATGGAGCAAGAGATTATTCAGCAGCACTCAGCTTGTACTGCCGAGCTTTGGAATATTTCGTCCCTTCTTTGCACTGTCAGTATTGAAGCATTTTAGATCACCTTAATGTTTAGTTATTTAATTTTTTTCACTCAGATCTGTTATCGGAGACGGGGTGTCTGTATTTCAGTAAATCTGATCTACTTTCAAATATCCATATGCTGGGGGTGGTGCAATGGAAGCAGTTCTGCTAAAACTATATTTGCTGATGGATGTTGCCCTATACTTTACCATTTACTCTCCAGAATGTTTGATACCTAGATATCTGTTGGTAGTGGCAGTTGAGTTCCCCTATATGAGACAGACATGCAAGTATTGCATACCCTGCTGTCTTTTACTGTCATAATTTTTTGAGTTTTAGAAGGCCTTTTTCATGTTTATAATGAGAAAAGTAGGGTGTACATTGTAATATTTGCTGAATAATATGTTTTACATGTATAAGTACTTTGATCTGTACTGTAAAGTAGTGTGGTTTGGGTAATGTTAACACTGTGTCAAGATACATGCCAAAAACTTAAAGTACATGTGAACCCTAACCTTGTCAAACAATGCATTCAGTTTAAAATAGAAATGAAAGGTGTGTGTGAGCGTGCGTGCGTGTGTGTGCGCGCAAGTTTTATCATTGGAGGACAGGCAGGCTGAGTTTCAGCACAGCCAGAAACTGCACAGTGTTGGGAGGATTTGCTTCCATGCCTAGCTTGGTCCGTTTGAAATAGGAAAGCAGGGGGACTGGCAGGATCACCAAATATATCATACAAAAGTACATGATACAACAGACACATCAGGAATATAAAATGTTGGTGTAGCAAACACTTTTGCTGCACCATGTAAACCCTACTTAACTGTTCTGGATTTTTTCTGGTAGATGAGACAGACATTCGGCGGAAAGAAGCCATACGCTCAAAGGTTAGTGAGCATCACTTTGATGGTTGCATCTCAGATTGATATTTTTAACTTACTGGCATCTATGACTAGTGGGAAATGCATATTAACAGAATTATTCTTTTTTTTTTTTTTTTTTTCTTTTCCTCAAAGTATATGTAACCCAGCTATCACATGTAATGGTAGTTTGAAAAGTAATTTTCCTTCCAGTAAATTTGTATTGAGCTTTTTCATTGAGTTTTTCAACAAAAATATAGGTTACAAATACACATAATAACAAGGTACCATAGACATTAAGCGGTAGTAAAGTCTGTTTTGTGATTTGTAAATGAATATCTCCTAAACGTGCACTGTTTAGTAGATATGCACAGTTTTTGACAGCCGGCGCATGTACTCTGAAAGAACGGAATACCCATGCCGTTCCTTTAGAGCACTGTGTCGTGGCCGTGGCTCCCGCATGCATGCGCAGGAGTGACGTCATGGCCCCGCCAGTCAGACAACTGGAGCTTGTGAACCCGAAGGGAAGACCAGGGGAAAATGGATGTCAGCGGTAACAGCGCACCGCTGGAGGGCTTAGTTTTAAGGTAAGTACTTCATAATGTGCTAGTATGCGATGTATACTATAACATTACCTTGCAGAGGATTTTTGTTTTATTTATTTTATTTTTTTTACTACCGCTTCAAAGTAGAATTCCAGGCTGAACCTAACTAGTCTTAAAATTGCTATCTCCCCCTTCTAACACCTATGCTGACTAACTTGTGTAAAAAAAATATACACTCACCGGCCACTTTTAGGTTACCGTCTGACACCAACAACCATGCCACATTCTAAGTCACTTAAATCCCCTTTCTTCCCCATTCTGATGCTCAGTTTGAACTTCAGCAAGTCATCTTCACCACGTCTAGATGCCTAAATGCATTGAGTTGTTGCCATGAGATTGGCTTGTTAACAGTTTGTTACCAAGCAATTGAACAGGTGTATCTAATAAAGTGTCCAGTTAGTGTATATACACTGCTCAAAAAAGTTAAAGGAACATTTTTAATCAGAGTATTGCACCGAGTCAATTAAACTCATGGGATATTGATCTGGTCAGTTAAATAGCAGAGGGGGTTATTTAGTTTCAGTGCTTTGGTGTTAATGAAATTACCAACAGGTGCACTAGATGGGCAACAATGAGACGACAACCAAAACAGAAATGGTTTTACAGGTGGAGGCCACTGACATTTTTTTTTTCCCTACTCATCTTTTCTGACTGTTTTTCACTAGTTTTGCATTTGGCTAGGGTCAGTATCACTACTTACTGGTAGCATGAGACAATACCCGGATCCTATAGAGGTTGCGCAGGCAGTCCAACTCCTCCAGGATGGCTCATCAATACATGCCATTACCAGAAGGTTTGCTGTGTCTCCCAGCACAGTCTCAAGAGCATGGAGGAGATTCCAGGAGACAGGCAGTTACTCTAGGAGAGTTGGACAGGGCCGTAGAAGGTCCTTAACCCATCAGGAGGACCAGTATCTGCTCCTTTTGTGCAAGGAGGAACAGGATGAGCACTGACAGAGCCCTACAAAATGACCTTTAGCAGACCTCTATCAGGCCAATGGTGTGAGTGTCTCTGACCTAGCAACCAGAAACTGACTTCATGAGGGTGGCCTGAGGGCCCGACATCCTCTAGTGGGCCCTGTGCTCACTGCCTGGCATCATAGAGCTCGATTGGCATTTGCCATTGAACACCAGAATTGGCAGGTCTGCCACTGGCACCCTGTGCTTTTCACAGATGAGAGCAGGTTCACTCTGAGCACATGTGACAGATGTGAAAGGGTCTAGAGAAGCCATGGAGAATGTTATGATGCCTGTAACATCATTCAGCATGCTGCATGCTGCAGTGATGGTCTGAGGAGGCATATCCATGGAGGGATGCACAAACCTCTACAGGCAAACAATAGCACCTTGACTGCCATTAGGTTGAGATGAAATCCTGGGTTCCTCCTGGTGCATGACCATGCCCGGTGTCATGTGGAGATGGTATGCAGGCAGTTCCTGGAGGATGAAGGAATTGATACCATTGAATAGCCCTCATGCTCTCTTGACCTAAATCGAATGGAACATCTCTGGGATATCATGTTTCGGTCCATCCAATGTGCAGTGTTAGTATTCTGCCACACATAGCATTTTGCTTTTAGGGAAAAAAAAGTTAAATTTTGGTTGCACCTTACCAGAGCACCTTCTTCCACATGTTTGCTGTGTCCCTCACATGGCTTCTCGCAAACTGCAAATGGGACTTCTTATGGCTGTCTTTCCACAATTGCTTTCTTATCAAACCTCTGAGGGTTTCAAAAAATTTTTGAAAACCATTTATCATTTTCCTTTCACTTCACAATAACAATTCTCCACTTTGTGTTGGTCTATCACATAAAATCCCAATAAAATACATTTACATTTTTGGTTGTAACATGACAAAATGTGGATAATTTCAAGGGGTATGAATACTTTTTCAAGGCACTGTATATGCAGTGAAGCATGCTTGTTATACTCACTGTGGAACCTAAGGGGTTAATCCTCTGCATTGTGTAAAAAAGATGTTTGATCCCGGTCTCTCTGATCCTCCCCTTCTTCTACTGTTCCCAACCATCTCCTGATAGAAGAGAGCTACACATCCTCAGTCTGGTGTGTTTTTCTTTCTTGGGAGAGTGCAATGTGAACATCACAGGGCCAATCGGCACTGTCCATACAGATGGTCAGGGGTCCTGCAGCCTCATAGGAAAGAATGAAAACTCCTCCTACAAACTTTAACCAGTGCTCCGCTGGACACTAATAAAAGTCACAACACTGCTCTAATTGCTGATGAGAAAAGGTATTTAGCAGTTTGTTTGGAAGGTGCTGATTGGCCCTGTGCTGATCACATGCACTCTCCCAAGAAAGGAAAAAATATTGGAAATTGCATTTCCATGTTCTGAGTACTGTGAGAGACCAGATATAGTGAATGCAGGGTCCTGGGTTTAGTAACACTTTAAGGGCCTGTCCATTGCTAGACATATATGAATTATTCCCACTTTATCTATGTATTGTTGCGTGGCAGGGTTGGAATTATGACTATAGGACAATTAATGTCCTTGAATGGAAATAAAGAGGAATAAATGTTGTCATTCAGAATCAGATGTTTTTGCACCAAAGGAACATATTGATCTTACTGTTGCTGGTATCGGCAATGCTTAGTCTCTAAATATATTTACCTACCTGAAGATTGCTAGCCTCATTCATAATAATAATAATAATAATACATGAGAAACTGAACAGCTGTGACTCACAATATATACAGTAGTTTTGTCATATGTTGTATATTCAGGCATGCATTTCATTTGCTGTTGTATTACAGGGACTTATTATTTTAATCTTTTACTATACACTGTCTGCAGGTGTGTCAATATATATCAAGAGCGGAGGAGCTAAAGGTACTGGTATCTTCTAGTAACAAGTCCCTGCTTCTTGAAGGCATATCTTCACGGGAACTTTTGAAAGGTGAGCTCTAGCCGCCCTTTTTGGACTAATGGCCCTGGTGTTGGGCACAAATGTGTGGCTGATTTTGAAATATTGGGTAACTTGTATGACAAGGTCTCTTGTCAACATCTATTTATTGCGTGCGCACACACAGACGATTGGCATGGTTGCATTTCTATGTATAAGATGGAACCTGCGCAGTGGACTATATTTAATTATATAGATAAACTGGCTGCTGCTAGCAATACCACAAGTGTAAATGCAAACAAATGTGTGAATACAAGTATAAATAAATGCTGTGCTGCCACTAGTGAATTAAATGTGCCACACTCCGTTCGTGATGATGGCCCTCAAATAAATAAATGTGACCTCTATATAACATATAAACATAAAAAGTTAGTCTACCCCTCTGTGTATCCCTATGACGGGGAAATATGACACCCCTATATATCATGCATGCTTATACCAATGCTTTAAGCCTGTGCTATATTAGTGAGGTAATGTGCAAATAGTGCAACAATCATGAACACCAATGCTCCCAAATTAAACCGATATCAGTCAAACCTGCATGGCTGTAGGGGCGTGCTGAGGCACCAAATGCGCAGTTTGACCTACCCATGCAGGTGATCAACATCTTTTGCATTCATAGATTTTAAGACAAATGATAGATAAGCTTGCGCTTGCATTCGCCTATAAACTAAATATATATCAAAGGTGATGATTCTGTTAGTTACACATTAATCCTTTGCACAAAAAATTACAACAGAGTATTGTATCCAAGTGAATTGCAAACTAATTCAGCTTGTTCCACGTGCTGATTGATAGAAACAAGGCTGCAGAATGATGGCGCTAATTGCATGTGTTAAGATCTGTATGCAGTTTCTAAGTTGCAATCCTTGTGACATCACAATCGGCTGCTCGATTTTTCTCAGGCCGACTTGCCAGCAGTACTGCAAATAAAGCTGTGTTCTATATATATCACTGGCTGGGACATAGAGAAAAAGCAATAGTGCTCCTCCAATTGGGAGCCTAACACTTTGCATTTCTTTTTTTTGTTACTGCCTATGGAAGCTATTCATGTGTGAATGTGGATAGAGGCAGAGAGCTGTCATTAGAGCTGGAGATTGCTTTCACAGAATTGCAACTAAAGCAGGGTATACACTGGAAATTAACCAACTCAATACTGTGCACTTTCGTCCCCCTTCCTGCCAAGGCCAATTTTCAGCTTTCAGCTCTCTCACGCTTTGTATTACAATTACTCAGTCATGCAACTCTGTACCCATATGAAATTTTTATCATTTTTTTCACACAAGTTGAGCTTTCTTTTGGTGGTATTTAATCACTACTGGGTTTTTTATTTTTTGCGCTATAAATGAAAAAATACTGTAAAGTTTAATTTTAAAAAACTTGTTTTTCTTAGTTTCTGTTATAAAAATTAGCAAATAAGTAATTTTTTCTTCATAAATTTTGACCATAATTTATACTGCTACAATGCTTTGCTAAACAATAACCCGAATTGGTGTATATTATTTGGTCTGTGTGAAAGTTATAGTCTACAAGCTATAGTACCAATCATTGAAAATTGACCACAGCTGATATACTGATGGCCTATCTCATTTCTCGATACACTAACAAGCCTGGACAGTACAAATACCCCTTTTTGGAAAGTAGACATTCCAAGGTATTTAGTAAGAGGCATGCTAAGTTTTTTTGAAGTAGTAATTTTTTCCCACAATTCTTTGGAAAATTAAGAAAGTAAATAAAATTTTTGCAACTACACCTCAAACCCAAAATTTTCACACATGGCATAGGCATCGACTTGCAACTACACCTCAAACCCAAAATAATACCCACATTTTTGATAAAATATGCGCTGAATATAAGAATACCAAACATGTCACGCTTTAAAATTGCACATGCTTATGGAATGGTGCTAAACTACGGTATTTAAAAATCTCCATAGGCGATGCTTTATAATCCTTCACAGGTTACCAGTTTAGAGTTACAGAGGTGATCTGATTCTAGAATTATTGCTCTCGCTCTGACATTCACAGCAACCGCTCACGTGTTTGGTGCGATCGCTGTTTATGTATGCGTATGAGACCTATGTGTGTGTTCGCCTTTGCACGCGAGCAAGGGGGGACCGGGGTGCGTTTTAAATTTTTTTTATTATTATTTATTTGTTTGTTGTTATTTGCAGTGGTACACTGGCAGATGTTTTTGTGCACTGTTCACTGAGAGATGTTGACAGATTTTTATGGGACACTGTGACGGATGATAACCACTGTGGACAGGGACAGACTGTGCTTGGTGCACTGGTGTGGGATGTCTGCAGACTGTGAGATCTGTGTAGCTGAACAATAAAATCTTCAGCTACACAGATCAGCTGTCACAGGTTGCTCCCAGGCATCCATTCTGAGGGACATACAGGAACGTTCACTCAGAACAAGGAAGCTCCCAACTGGCCGTTTATGTAAATTGGCTGGGTGGGAAGTGGTTAGAAAAATACTCACTTCCCCACATCCACACAAGCGATGTGAACGCAGAGATCTCCCCCGACATGCTATTGTATTCTGACAGTGGACCCCCCCCTTTCCGTCAGAATACACTGATCAGTACTCCAAGCATTGGCTGCAAGCACTGATCAAATACTGGCTTTCCAGCAGCACCGTTTGATAGAAGCCAGTCGTCAGATTGGCTTTTGTTGAATACACAGTGGTACACACAGAGCAAAATTCGTCCAGTTCCAATATGAGTAATCTCCACCATTCTGCAATACCCTAGGATACAATTTTATCTTGTAATTTTTGTGTGAAAGTTTTATCCCACTATGAAAAGGAACAGTGGTGTCAGCATGACTAACAAAATCATCGCCTTTAATATTTATTCAGTCTACGGCTTAATTCACACAGGGCGATTTTGATCCGTGCCCTGTGCAGTGTCGTGTTTGCCACTATGGGGCTACACAGGTGTTGCATGCATCCGCGTGCTGGCTATCCCATAGCTGTCTATTGGTATGCAACGGCTGCACAGACCTGTAGCTGCACCCACACGGGTGTCAAATTTGGGAGCAACAGCTGTGTCCATGCAACTGCTGTGTCCCAATAGACATGAATGAGAGCACTTTTGCATACTGATGCTGATAAAACACAGTCCTGCACAGGGCAAGGAGCAAATCACTCTATGTAAAGGAGGCCTTAAGGAGAAAGGAAGAACCAGCTGATCTATTACTTGCACTTTTTGTCTTTATTGCGATAATTATAATCAAAGGATTTATCTAAATCAGTAAGGCTGCTGTATTTGGGATAGTGTTTTTTTTTTTTTTCACTTTATTTTTCGCTCTGGACTGTTTTCTCCCTTCATTGATTATAGGTTACTAATTAATAAGTCTGTGTTCTCATTTCATACGTCTTCACTGCTGATCTGCTGTCATTTTCTCTAGAAATGTCTCAGGACAAACCTCGTCTGTTTGCTGCTTTAGATGTGGCTTCAGCTGCTGTTGCAAAGGTATGACACAGCAGAATAAATTGGTGTAAATTATCCTGGCTCATTTATTACCTTTTTCAATGTTTTACCATTACATTTAAACAAGGTAGAATCCATGTACACTAAATTTTGTCTATTCAGTCTGTTGATTCATGTCGGGTTTATTAATATTAAGATCGTTATTAATCAACTTAAAGTATAGGTAAAGCAACAATAAACCTATGGGGAGAGTGCACAGCCTACATCTGTGCTGGGCGGGGGGGTTGTGAGTTTGTGCTAAGATGGGGGATTTGAGGGGATTGAGCACAGCCCACATTTGTGCTAGGAAGGGGGTTTGAGGGGATTGTGCTGTGAGAGGGAATTAGGGGGGGGTTGGAGTGGGGCTTTTGCTAGTAGTGGGGATTTGGGAACAGGGGATTTGTGCTAAATGGGAGGTGGGAGTTGTGCTAGGAGGGGTGATTTTTGGGGGTTGTACTTTGAGGGATTTGCTGGGGGGTTTGTGTTAGGAGGGGGGATTTGAGGGGGTTGTGTTAGAAGAGGGCTTGGTTGGAGCAGAGTTTGTACAAGGAGTGGGGATTTGGGAGCAGGGGGTTTAAGCTAGGAGGAGGAATTTTGGGGGGGGGGGGGGGGGGGGGAGTTCTAGGAGAGGGGATTTGGTAGGGGATGTGTGCTGAAAGGGGGAATTTGGAGGGAGAAAGTTGCTATCTAAGATCACTGAACATTAAAAATTGGATGTGCACAAACACACAAAAAAACATGCTCAGACACACCTCATGGTGTGAACGAGCCCTTGGACTGGTGTACTCCGGGATTGTGCACAGTTCTGAAGAGTGCCTTGCCTGAAAAAAAGGTTTAAAAAAACACCGTCCTAGGGTGACAGCTCTGCTCCCGTATAGATACAGTTGTGTTCAAAATAATAGCAGTGTGTTGAAAAAAGTGAATAAAGCTCAAAGACCTTCTAATAGCTTTTATTTCCATACACACAAATGCATTGGGAACACTACACATTCTATTCCAAATCAAAACATGAAGAAAAATATATCAAATTTGTGTTGTTCCTCTAAAAAAAAATTGAAGAAAAGTGAATATTAGACTGTTCAAAAAAAATAGCAGTGTTTGTATTCTTCTTTACAAACTCAAACATTCACTATATAAACTGAAAAATGTTTGAAGATTTTGCTTTCCTTTGAATCACTTAATGAATATTTAGTTGTATAAGCACTGTTCTGAGAACTGCTGTACATCTGTGTTGCATGGAGTCAACCAACTTCTGGCACCTGTGAACAGGTATTCCAGCCCAGGATGATTGGACAACATTCCACTGTTCTCTATTTCTTGGTTTTGCCTCAGAAACTGCATTTGTGATGTCACCCCACAAGTTTTCTATTGGATTAAGATCCGGGGATTGGGCTGGCCACTCCATAACGTCAATCTTGTTGGTCTGGAACCAAGATGTTGCACATTTACTGGTGTGTTTGGGGTTGTTGTCTTGTTGGAACACCCATTTCAAGGGCATTTCCTCTTCAGCATAAGGCAGCATGACCTCTTCAAGTATTCTGATGTATTCAAACTGATCCATGATCCCTGGTATGCGATAAATAGGCCCAACACCGTAGTATGAGAAACATCCCCATATCATGATGCTTGCGCAACCATGCTTCACTGTCTTTACAGTGTACTGTGGCTTGAATTCAGTGTTTGGGGGTCGTCTGACAAACTGTCTCCAGCCACTAGACCCAAAAAGAACAATCTTACTTTCATCAGTCCACAAAATGTTGCGCCATTTCTCTTTAGGCCAGTCAATGTGCTCTTTGGCAAATTGTAACCTCTTCAGCACATGTCTTTTTTTCAACAGTGGGACTTTGCGGGGGCTTCTTGCAGATAGCTTGGCTTCACATAGGCGTCTTCTAATTGTAACAGTACTCACAGGTAACTTTACACCTTCTTTGATCTTCCTGGAGCTGATTGTTGGCTGAGTCCTTGCCATTTTGGCTATTCTTCAAGCCATTCGAATGGTAGTTTTGCGCTTTCTTCTTCACGTCGTCTTTCAGGTTTTGGTTGCTATTTTAAAGCATTTGCGATCATTTTAGCTGAGCAGCCTATCATTTTCTGCACTTCTTTATATGTTTTCCCCTCTCCAATCAACTTTTTAATCAAGGTACGCTGTTCTTCTGAACAATGTCTGGAACGACCCATTTTCCTCAGAATTTCAGAGAGAAATGCACTGTAACCAGCATGTACAACATTTGCTGCCTTCCTTCCTTAAATAAGGGCAATAATTGCCACCTGTTTTTCAAAGAATGAATTACCTCACTAATAGAACTCCACACTGCTATTATTTTGAACATGCCCCTTTCAATTAGTGATTCAATTACACAGAATCAGCAGCATGCATGTCATGACTGTTGGGTCTGTTGGATTTCTATTACTCTACTATACCTGCTAGTAAATTATTTGCCATGTAGAAATATCATTTCTACCAAAAACAGTGATTGATCAGGTTAGCTATGTCTGACTGCTATTATTTTGAACACAACTGTATATTACTGTGAGGGAGTGTTGTCAACTTAGGGCAGGAAGTGTGTTACTGGCAGGATCACTAGGTGTAAATAAATAGAAAAATTGCCTGAATCGAAGGATTTCAGCCACCACATCTATGGAGTGGCCAGGCTGCAACATATAAAAAAAAATTTTTTCTTGAGTTTAGATACACTTTAATCATCTATGTGGAGCATTCATGCGAGAACTAGGGTTATGTGCACAAAAATCTTACTTTTAGGCAATATATATTGCAGTAGCTAAAGTTTTCAGAAATAAAGCAAGTCATAACTGACCACAAAGTTTGAAATTTAAGAACTCTTATCCATATGTAAAAAAACGCCTGTCTCAGCTCTGTACATATTAAATCGCTTTAATGAGGTATAATAAAGCTTGGGAAGGTATCTGAATTGGATTAATATACCCTGGGCTAATGGAACTGGAAGCTTGTATGTTCTTTGAATCACTTTGCATTCTTCTAAGATACATCAATGTGTCCATTTGTTCCACACTTTTTGTGATTGGGCATATTTGTCTTCTAATGACACACAAACTGTAATATTAAATTCTTATTTTAAAATTTTCCATGGTCTTACCTTTTGAAGCATATTGCTTTCTTGTTGTATTCTGCATTTGCATATGTAATGCTACTGGAAGTTGATCGTAAATTCTCCTTGGATTTGGGTAACAGATTTCACAATGCCTTCCATAAAGACATCCTTTCTAATATTTCTTTTCATGTGTCTTCTCTTTAATATGTTGGCAGGATGAGGAGGGAGTAGCTGCTGATGCGCTGGACCTCTACCAGCAGTGTCTTGGGGAGCTCATATTAATGTTAAGTGGTGAGTACTATCAGACTGAAAGAAAGATATTTGGTCATTGCAGCCTACTAAAGAGGCACTACAGCTGGTAAAAACCCTAAACCTAAATACTTCTAAAATCCCTGTAAACAAGGAGTTCTGATCATTCTTTTAGGAATAGTCACACTCCTGTACATATCCAATATTCATCGTGTGCTGGCACTTGCCCACCTCTGCATCATCCACATAGAAGCAATGCATCGTCTCATCTAGAAAAGCAGCACAAAAATATTCACACCAAACAGCTGTTGCACATGATGTACCCTGGAGAGCATTATCTGCCAAGGAGTACATCAAGAATCTCTCTGTGGGGATGCTCACATTGAGGAAATCAACAAAGTCAATATGCTCCTGTTTTTATTTTCACATGTATAACTACAAAAAGTTATTGCATAAGATTTCCTAATACAAAGAATTACCATGTTTTTTACAGTCTTGTGTTAAAATATACCCTTCTGTTTAGCTTAACTTTGTTTCACTCATTGCTAATATTTATCTTTCATGTGTCACCCTAGGTAAGCTTTGTTATCAACGGCAGTGTATGTCCACCTTTTGATTTGTAGTTAATAAAGTCTTAAGAAACCAGTAGAATCAGATAATTTTGCTCTTTGTCTGCTGAGAGTATTGGGGGTTATATAGGTGTATGTTATATGTAATTCGTTCACGTTTTGGCACATTCTTTGTACCAGATGATCATATCCAATAATTAAATTGTTCATAAATATCAGAGTGTGCTTAGATATTGCACAACTATCTCACTATCGAGATAAGTTTGTAACATGCTACACTCGTGCTACATGAGTCAGATATGTCCGTTTTGCCACATGATAGTCCATGTGATTGATTGTGATTCACTGTACTATGACAGTTCAGTGCACTGTTCTTTATGTTAAAAAATAGGTTCTTGTGTGAAAATGTCCACCCCAGCACACAGGACATGAGCCCCTGTTTTCTCTTAAGTTTTTGGCCCATAAACTGTTCCATTATTGTCCCAGCTTATGAAAATCTCATGTGTTTGGTGATGAGCATCTTGCATTTTTGGCCACCTTTTGATCTGCTGTCACCCATTTACTGGGGAGAAAAAAAGTGCTTCTGCTTAGACCAGATTCTGATTTGATCTATTTTGTGTTTGGCGTCTTGCAGCTGAACCAGTTGGAAGGAGAAGGGAATTACTACATGCTGAAGTAAGTGTAATTCCACCATTTTCCTATTCTACAGGGAAAGATAACTTTTTACTAAACACATAGAAAGGAAAAATATACATGTCTTTTCTAACCTGACTCATACTACTATAAAGTACAATTAAAGGCACACATTCAAAAAGTATTAAATCCAGTTTCTGTGATGCACACACCTCATAAAGTAAACTAAAAACTTCCTTTTACCTCTTTTGAGTAAAATTTTCCTTTCTTTGTCTCATATGCTCCCCCTCCTAAACACTGCAGCTCACAGTGAAAGGGTTTCATCAACATAGTGTTGTTAATCCAGAAAGCATTGGACAGAACTAAGTGTGGTTTTGTGCAGATTGGAAAATTACCTACATGAGGGCAACTCTGCTCTGAATTCAGGAGTTTTTCATTCATGGTTTTGGGTAGCACCATGGAGTAGAAGGTCCATCTTTTCCTTTTGTTTATCTCTGTCTGTGTCTTCCAGATTCAAACACTAATGAAGCGTGCAGAATTTTTAAAAGAGCAGGTAAGAGTAATAGAAGGGAAATAAGAAAGAGGTTGGGCACAGATTTTGATTCTCTAAGTCATATGATTTCTTTTCATCTTTTGCTGCAGATGAAGACTACTGACTGGAAGAATGATTCTCTGGGAAATGAGATGTTGTCAGAGTCTGTGCGGGGATGTGAGTAAGCTTAGTAAAACCCTCCAGTGGGCTTTAAATTATAAATACACCCTTTGGAACCTGGTATATGTTACACTTGTATTTAGGGTGTAACATGTTCCAGCACATGTTCCCCCTCACTCCTTCCCCTGTGACAGTGGATGGGGGTTCTTCTCCCCTGCAGCCTCTGTCCCATTTAAAATCAGGACAGTTCTGTGCATCATTCACAAAGATCTGTAAATGAAGAAACCAAAAGTCCAGTCTGCAAGTACAGCACATGGCTTGTAGTACACAGTGGACTGCGAGGGCGCTGATGAACACTCTCATAGTCCATCCACAAGTCTTCCAGCTTTCTAACTGAAAGCCCACACAGAGGTATGAGCAGAAGTTTGGGGGACTTGTCTGCAGGAGCCTGATATTAGCACATTTTATTTCCCTGCATAAATGTGTATATATTATTTTTCTTTAAAAGTGAACTTAGCCTTTACATGTTAACCACTTGCCTACTGGGCACTTATACCCCCTTCCTGCCCAGGCCAATTTTCAGCTTTCAGCACTGTCGCAATTTGAATGAAAATTGCGTGATCATGAAACACTGTATCCATATGAAATTATAATTTTTTTGAAACAGAGCTTTCTTTTGGTGGTATTTAATCACCACTGTTTTGTTTTTGTTTTTTGTTTTTTTGCTAAACAAACCAAAAACAACTGAAAATTTTGAAAAGAAGAAAGTTTTTTTCTTAGTTTCTGTTATAAAATTTTGTAAATGAGTAATTTTTCGCCTTCACTGATGTGCACTAATGAGTCTGTACTAATGGGCACTGATAGGCTGCACTGATGAGGAGGCACTGGTAGGTAGCACTGATGGGCATTGCCAGGCATCACTGGTGGGCATTGAGAGACATCACTAATGGGCACTGAAAGGCAGTACTCATATATGGCACTGCTAGGCGGCATTGACGGGCACTGCAAGACAGCACTGACTGGCACTCATAGGCGGAACTGACTGGCACTGATAGGTGGCACTGAAAAGCAGCACAGATGGGCACTAATATGTGGCATTGATGTGCACTGGTAGGTACTGACAGGTGGCATTGATGTGCACTGACAGGTGGCATTGATGTGCATTGATAGGTGGCATTGGACACTGACAGGTGGCACTGATGGGGCTACACTGATCATCAGTGCTCTGATGATCAGTGTAGATGTCCCCTCTGAGGAATGCCGATTTACCAGCTCTCCTCTCCTCACCAGCTGTCAGCGTGACAGCTGGTGAGGAGAGGAATGCGGATAACCGGCATTTCCTTATTTACATGTGATCAGCTGTGATTGGACACAGCTCATCACATGACAGAGCTGAAGTCATCGGCTCTTTCCGCTGATTGGTGATCCACGGTGTCGCTCATGCGCGGTTAGAGTGGGATAACATCATATGATGTCCTCGCAGAACGAGGGAACCGCCATGCTCCCGTCATTTCCTTATATGGCGGGCAGGAGGTGGTTAAATACTCTTGCATTCTTGTAATGGAGATGACTACTACAGTCAAGTCCTTAAATATTGGGACATCGACACAAATCTAACATTTTCGGCTCTATACACCACCACAATGGATTTGAAATGAAACGAACAAGATGTGCTTTAACTGCAGACTGTCAGCTTTAATTTGAGGGTATTTACATCCAAATCAGGTGAACGATGTAGGAAAAACAACAGTTTGCATATGTGCCTCCCACTTGTTAAGGGACCAAAAGTAATGGGACAATTGGCTTCTCAGCTGTTCCGTTGCCAGGTGTGTGTTATTCCCTCATTATCCCAATTACAATGAGCAGATAAAAGATCCAGAGTTCATTTCAAGTGTGCTATTTGCATTTGGAATCTTGCTGTCAACTCTCAAGATGAGATCCAAAGAGCTGTCACTATCAGTGAAGCAAGCCATCATTAGGCTGAAAAAACAAAACAAACCCATCAGAGAGATAGCAAAAACATTAGGCGTGGCCAAAACAACTGTTTGGAACATTCTTAAAAAGAAGGAACGCACCGGTGAGCTCAGCAACACCAAAAGACCCGGAAGACCACGGAAAACAACTGTGGTGGATGACCGAAGAATTCTTTCCCTGGTGAAGAAAACACCCTTCACAACAGTTGGCCAGATCAAGAACACTCTCCAGGAGGTAGGTGTATGTGTGTCAAAGTCAACAATCAAGAGAAGACTTCACCAGAGTGAATACAAAGGGTTCACCACAAGATGTAAACCATTGGTGAGCCTCAAAAACAGGAAGGCCAGATTTGAGTTTGCCAAACGACATCTAAAAAAGCCTTCACAGTTCTGGAACAACATCCTATGGTACAAGTTGATCTTGGTCTCATCTGTCCAGAGTGATGGGAAGAGAAGAGTATGGAGAAGGAAAGGAACTGCTCATGATCCTAAGCATACCACCTCATCAGTGAAGCATGGTGGTGGTAGTGTCATGGCGTGGGCATGTATGGCTGCCAATGGAACTGGTTCTCTTGTATTTATTGATGATGTGACTGCTGACAAAAGCAGCAGGATGAATTCTGAAGTGTTTCGGGCAATATTATCTGCTCATATTCAGCCAAATGCTTCAGAACTCATTGGACGCCGCTTCACAGATGGACAATGACCCAAAGCATACTGCAAAAGCAACCAAAGAGTTTTTTAAGGGAAAGAAGTGGAATGTTATGCAATAGCCAAGTCAATCACCTGACCTGAATCCGATTGAGCATGCATTTCACTTGCTGAAGACAAAACTGAAGGGAAAATGCCCCAAGAACAAGCAGGAACTGAAGACAGTTGCAGTAGAGGCCTGGCAGAGCATCTCCAGGGATGAAACCCAGTGTCTGGTGATGTCTATGCGTTCCAGACTTCAGGCTGTAATTGACTGCAAAGGATTTGCAACCAAGTATTAAAAAGTGAAAGTTTGATTTATGATTATTATTCTGTCCCATTACTTTTGGTCCCTTAACAAGTGGGAGGCACATATGCAAACTGTTGTAATTCCTACACCGTTCACCTGATTTGGATGTAAATACCCTCAAATTAAAGCTGACAGTCTGCAGTTAAAGCACATCTTGTTCGTTTCATTTCAAATCCATTGTGGTGGTGTATAGAGCCAAAAAGTTTAGAATTGTGTCGATGTCCCAATATTTATGGACCTGACTGTATATATACAGTATCAGATGGTTGCATAGTAGTAACCAACACGTTGTGGTTGAAGTTTCCAATGTTGGATTACATGTTTTATAGTTGTATCTAAAATAATAGGACCAGACAGGATTTCTTCTTCAAGGCAAGAGTAGATCAGCTGCACAGAAAAATAAAAAGGTGAAAACGTAATTTTACTTAAAAAGATATGGCAATTGTCTATGATACAGAGAACCTTAGAAAACCAACAGTCATCCATTTAGGGTTTGTCTCCTGCTGAAAGCTTATTTTTGATTGTTTGCTTTAAAGAGACCATGTCACCAACTTAAAAAATTGAAGGTAAAAGCATAGTAAATCAAGTATTTTATATACTTATTTGCAATATTTTTCCTTTGCATAAATGATTTTTTAAATTCATGTGCAATATGCTTTCAACCTTGTTGGAAAATGTGATCACTCCAGGAAGGCTCGATTCTGTAGCACATCTTCCTTCCTCTTTGCTCTTCATAGCCCTCTCCCATGTCTAATTACTCTATGCTCCTCTACCGTGCCCTTCACCTCCCTATATGACCTTTTTTGTGCCTGCTGGGGGAGGTATGAAGGGGAATACTATAGTGTCCCTTGAGTGACAGCTAAGAAGTTCGCCATACACTGATCAAAATTCAGGAGATTCAGCAGGAGCAAGACAATTTTTGATCAGTGTGGTTCCATCCCTGCTTGACAGAATTTGATTGACTCCTGTTTAAGGGAACACTTCTTTTGTCAGTCAGCAACTTCAGCTACTGTTCAGTGTATTCTGGCAGCTGCATGTGCAGCTGTCAGGATACATTGTCCTGGCAAGGGGACACCAACAAGGTGGATGGAGGAATCTGAAAAAACGAACCCTGCATGGGTTTAGTCTAGCTTTAGTCTACTGGGGCTGCTGTCATCACACTCCAGATGGTTACACCCTCCAGAAGTCTAAGGACTTTTGGATTTATACACAAGGGAGGCTTTTACAGGTAAATAGCAAGCATGAAAGTTTTTAAAAACACATATAATCTTATGAAAAAATGTATTTGAAGTAAACGGTTTGGTGATTGGCTCTCTTTAAGCAACTGTACACCATGCCATTTTCATCCTTACGAAATAAAGGCAAATATTGTGACTCCATGTAGAAACTGAGGATAAAAGAAGGGTCCTCTTATTTACTGTGCTAAGGCTAATCCTTACTATGTGCACAAATTCTGATATTTATTTCTGTCTCTTTTCCAGCATGTTCGCTGCAATGACCCTACTGTGATTCACTGCTGAGATGGCGTTCTTTTATATGTGGTTTCGTCTTAGTAATACTGTGTATTAATTAAATTATTTTCCAGTCTCTGAAGTATTGTTATTTAGCTCACAACATCGACGCTTTCTAAGCAGGATTAATCAGACTGCACAGAAACTCCCGAAATAATAGTTGTTTATAAGATACCTACAGATGGTAGAAAGTGGCTGCCCATTCTGATCATTTACAGTAAGTTCAAGTAATGTTCATATGTCTGTAGGCCTTCGCAAATGGGTGTTGCCACTCTGGGGAAATAATAGCAAGAAAAATCTATCCTGTCCAATCAATTATCTGTTGTGTTCCCTCTCGGATTGACACTTGTAGTGCTCCAATCTTCTTCGGCAGAATTATACAAGCGGTCCTGATGCAAACCTACAGTTACAGTAGTAGAACGTTTGTGAGTGATAATTATTCTTCTGCGACAGGTTTGTGCATGTACAGCTGGCCACTATCTGGTGTCTGTAGGTACTTTTTAGGTCATCATTTATATACATCGCCTACATATATTAATACTTTCCAGTTGGCTTTGGCTTCAGTTTTTAGTCATTTACATCAGGTGAAGTACAGGCCTTGGTACAGTCAGCAAGTTAAAATCCTTACTGCATTAAAGGGTATCTAAACCGAAAAACAAGGACACTGCATTTCTGGTAATATCGACAGGTATTTTCTCTACTTGCTGAAAATGTTTTTGGCAAAAAAAAAAATTAACGCATCTGCACCACCTGGTAATCTGATATATGCTAAAAATTTGTACTTGGATTTAGTTCTTCAAATTTTGTTCTGGCATTTAGGGTGACCTATTAAAGCAGAGCTATAAACAAAACTTGTTTCTCATTTAGGATAGAGTAAGGGAGGGTTATAACCCCTGACACTTTATTTTTTTGCCATTTGTGTCCCATTGGGGAGATTTCCCTTTACTTCCTGTCTTCTAGCCAAAACAGGAAGTGAGAAAATCTCTGAAAATTTGGGGAATTCCTTAGGGACCCTCAGTTCACCAGAACTAGTGTCCCCATTGGATAATTCCCCTCTATTACTTTTCTGGGGACAATCCAAAATTTGTTGTTTTTTTTTTTTACTTTTGATGCTAACGGTAAACAGTACAAATAGAGAGGGTGAATCTCCCTAACGGGGACACAGACAGCAATAAAACCTAATAAGTGTTCTAATCCATCTCCATTCTATCCAAAACTAATAAAAAGTTTTGCCATATACCGTAAGAAAAATAACTGTAAACAGGATATTTTTAGTGATCTTAAAACATGTAGTAGATGTTTTTGAAGAGAAAGGAGAGAACACCCATTTTTCCAAAGTGGTCTTTTAATAACAAGGTTTTATAAATTCAGTTGCTAATAGTAACTACCAGTACAAATACTTAGAGTTGTAATCAGAGCAAACATCCACCTACACACAGTCACAACACACTGCTGAGACACAGGAGAAGGATGATTGATCTAGGACATGGTTTCTCAGAAATAGATGCCTGTGTGAAAGGCTGATGGAAAGTACCATTCCCTGAATCTTAGGTCACATATTCGCTCTAAGGCAGAGAGTCTGGACATATTAAATAAGTCACTGCACTGGAACTAGTATTCTGAGTTGGAGTTTGGGAATGACCGTGTCTTTTAGTGATTCTCACACAGGTGTGTTGCTTGGTCACAGAGTATTTGAACCCTCTCCTCAAGTAACATTAAAATCACTACTTGTGAAAGCATCAACAGTTAAAATGGTGCAAACTCCTGGGGTGCACGTATTCTCATACTCTACACTGCAAAGATAGATCTATAGTTTGGAATATATGGCTACCTGGTCTTTACACCATACCATAATAAGGCAAAGGTCACCCCTTCCAACCTGTAAAGCCAGGTTAATGCTTTCTCCACTGACTTATGACGACTTGTCTTCCCCTGTGTATCACATCAGGTTTATTTGATTAAGTTGTGCAAAGTGCAGTAACCCATAGAAAATGTGCAGTTTACAGTGATCACATTATGGAAAAGATGAAGCCTGGGTGCCATGCGTTACAGCTTTGTACAAAATGACTTTGCACTACCTATCAAACAATCAGGCAAATGTACCAAGTTATTGCTTGTTGTAAAAAGTAATTTAAAAAAAAGGTATTTTAAGAGCCCATAGTGTGTAATGCCAAATATATTTACTATTCCTTTCCTCTTTTTATATACAGTTACTGCAATTAAAATTGGAGTTTTCTTTCTCCACGTTACATAAAGGAAACTTGTATGAGAGAAATTGAGACTGCCATTGCTTTGTTCTACCAGAATTGTCAGTTGCCTGGTTGCCATACTTATCAGGTGACTTCAATACTTTGAGTTACTGACCTGTAACAACTTCGCTGTAGTAAACTTTACAGACTGCATGATTGCCCAGGTCAGTGACCAAGAACATGATGAAGCCATTGCATCAAGCATGACCATCAGGCAACCAGTTTTTTCTAAAAGTGGTCTGTAACAACAGCCTACATACTGTATCTGTCTCACACAGGTTTCATTTAACATTACCTATTATTATCATTATATTTTAGCCCTGATAAAACTGAGAACCACATTTTCAAAGGATGTAAGAGCAGATACAGTACAAAAGAAACGCTGCACATCTAATTTTAAGTCATAACAAAAGATATTAGTGCTGGCTTCAAGAGCTGTAAGACACATACGTAACACAATTCAACTCTATGTATTGGGTGATTGTCATTTTTCAAATCTGAAACAAAGGAAGAGTAGACTGCAACAAGAGGAAAGTTACAGGTCATAAAGGTTACCATTTGAATATGTACAATCAGACATCTAAACCTTTCCCTGGAAGATCTTTGATATTTACTTGTTAAAAAAAAAAAAAAACAGGCCCTTCCCATTTAATCCAAGAAAAGGGACTGTGCATATATTACCGATATTTTTTTTTTTAGTTTGCTCCAAAGGATAATTTTGATTTGTCACCAGTGCTGGACTGTCTGGTCTCAGAGCTGGAGTGGCAAGTTTTAACAACCTGCTGGATAGCAAATATTTTAGGACATTAAAAGAAGTCACATAACTGAGCACTTTTCAGCTGATTGTTTCAGGTCATCCAATGTTGACTGAGCTTTTCCTTTAATTGAGTCCAAGTCTATATTCTGGATGTTACTGAGTTGTCCAATGACAGATGATTTTCCTTCCTCTTCTTCATTATCCTCTTCGATCATCTTTGCCAGCTCCTTGGGCAGTTCCACATCTCCTCCAGCTAGTTGTATCTGAGTTTCATCAACTTCACTCTGTGTGTAGAGAGAGAAACAAGTGTATAAAGATACAATAATTATCCTGCAGACTTCATATTGGCTGGAATGTGTAATAAGAGGTGTTCATTTGATTTGCAGGGTTACCATCAAATATAAAAAAAAAAATGATGGCATAGGTTACCTCTTTGTGGGAATATTACATCTGTGTCATCACTGACTTAATCCTAAGAATTAGCAAATCCTAAATCTAATTATACTTAGTCTTGTTGATGTAGAACAACAGTCAATATATTACAAGCATTGTGGTTAGAATATTTTCTAAAACACAGGAATCGTCAGTATGCATTTTACTTGAAAAATAAATATAAAATCACAAAAATATAAATTTTTAATTTAAATCAACTAAATATATTCCAGGTGCATCAAAACAAAGGGTTTTAGTCTTACAGTTCATTTCTTTAAAGAACAGCCAAGGCCTAAGTAGAAAAGTATGCTGTAGAGAGGACCACCCTTGCTGTGTGGTTGGAAACAATGGTCTCTCTGCAGATGTCCAATGCACACCCTGTTGACTAAGCAGGCCATAGATGGATCAAATCCTGGCCAGTTCAGCAAGGGATTTCTGAGAGATTTGTTTTGTGTATGGGCAGGCTGATTATACCATCGATTGACTTGGATACAACCAACCTGTCAGATTTTTTTTGTTTCACTGCCCATGGCTATAACTGCTAGCAATAATCACTGAGTTCTTCCAGACAGGAAGACTTCATGTGCCCCCCCAGCAGAACACAGTAGCACTGAGTGTATTGATGGGGGAATCAAGCAATTTTTCTTTTCTTCCACCTGTGGAAGAAAATAAACAAGACTACGCACAACCTTTTTAATGCACCCGGAATGTATTTAGCTGATAAGTTCCAATGAGCAAAGAAAATGGTGCCTTCAACAACTTTGCATCCCCACTAAAGCTTACGTACAGATTAAGAGCAAACAGATCGAAATAGGTTTTCTCCAGATACACCAGGCTCCTTCCAAACTCCAAAGACATGCTGGTAGGTTAACTAGTTTCTGTCTAGATTGGCCCCGATATGTGTATGTATGTATGTATGTGAGGTTTAGACTGTAAGTTCCTGGAGAGCAAAGACTAATGCAAATCTGCAATATATACAGTGTAAGCGTCACATAAATTGTTAAGGTGTGTGTATGTATATAAATAAATATATTTGTAAGAAATTAAAAAAATATATATTTTCTATCTTGTAAAGCATGGGATAAGGTGAGAACTTTATTTTGTTTTATTGCTGTATGTGTGCCTAGTTAGAGAACTACTTTCTGTCCAGTGGCAGTGGTCAAGAGCGAAAATCCCACCCTCAAGTGGGGGCACAGAAGCAATGAAACCCTGACAAAAGTTGTAACCGTTCCATACAACATGGTGGCATAAGCTGTTATTGTACACATACAGTACCAAAGCAGTAGCCTAACCTCATTTAGCCCTTTGAAGACTTGCGTAGGCCCTAGATGGAGCTATTTTTTTTTTTTTATTCATGAAACCATGAGAATCCCTCCCGCGGAGCCATTGTGTTCTGGTGGGGAAAAAGAGGTTGGGGGTGCCAATGATTTCTGGTAGCAGGTATAATAGCCGCTAGCAAAAATTGCATGTAAAATCAGACAGGCTGGTTGTATTTAAGTTGATGAATCGATTTGATCAACTTGGGTACATCCAGCCTGCCTATACATGGTTCGAATCTCTGCCAGTCCCTACTAAACCGTCTATGGCTGGCTAAAACTCTAAGGAGTCCAATGTATAAACTAACATTTTACTTTGGGAAACAGCAAAAATAGAGAATTTATTGGATTATAAACCAGCCACGTTTTGATGAAATGTATTCCTATTGTCTAATACAGTAAGACCTGATTTAACTTTTTTGGATCCTGAAAGGAGTGAGCTGTCAAACATGAACATGGTACTCTCATGTACTCACAATGTAGGACAGAACTTGGGTGGACTTATTTGGCCTTAATGTGAACTGTTTTTGAACGTTGGGAGGTATGTAATAAATAAGATGTAATAATAAGATGCTTGGTTCCTCTGTTATGTAGTTTCTTGATCCCAGCTCTACAAAATACCACATTCTTTCATTACCTCTGAAAGTTGGTAAGGCTTTTATCTCATTAAAGGTGTGCAATAAACATATTAGATATCTATTAGTTTGAAATGTAATGAGCACTATTATGTATGATGACGTATGGGTTTCTTGATTCTAACTCTACAAAAAACATTCATTTTAAAAGTGAGGATAAACACATGTGCGTTATGTTTTGTCTGGTATGTAATGAGTGCTGATTTTCACCATGGAACTGTTTTTCTAATCCTGCTTTTGGAAATGTGAGTTTACCTTTGGTAGTCGGTACTTGTCTCGGAAGTGACTCCGCAGTGTGGCTCTTTCAGCTTTGCGTTGGGTGTATACAGCTTCCCGCTCCATCCTGCATAAAGCAGATTACATTACAGTCATACAGTATGTTTACTACAGATGTGAGCCAATGAATATAAAGCTAGCTGTAATACCTTAGGTTTAAATATAACTGAGTCCCCTGAGGAAAATCTAGATAACTAATGAATTATAAAAAATTATGATAAAATTATAATCTACAGCAAACAAATCTTGAACATGCTAATGTCAGATGTTAACAAAGGACTTTGTGACATTTAGGACCAGTTCACACCAGAACTCAGTTCGGGAAAGGTGAGTTCCACATACATTTCCTGCACCACAAGTGAGCGCACTGCCCTTGCCATCTGCATGCAGGTGCCAGTGTATTGTAACAGCATTCTAAATGCAGATTGCAATTGCAATGCGTTTGTTGTCATTAAATTGCAAGATAATTCAGTACCATGCCGTTTAGTGCAGTGTGTTTTTAAAAGTAGTGCAAGAATTACTTCTTTTGCGCAGTTCAAATGAATGAGCTGTTAAAATGCACCGCACGAGAACGCAATAGAACGCATGCATTTCTGGTGTGAACCAGCCCTCAAAGTGTGTGTTAGGGCAAAAAAAAAGACATGCAGCACATCTATGCAAAATATAAACATTTCTATATATGTATACTTTTACTTTTTATACTTTTAAAGACCCTTGTGTTGTGGTCTGAAAACACAGCATTTTTGTGGACTGAGTGGCCTCATCTTCGCGCAGTTGTCTTTTGCTCGGTTACTCAAATGGTCCTATCGTATTCTCCACAACACAGACACTAATTCTGTATATCAAAGATACGAACTGGGAAGGCTAATTACTATCCTTGGTGATCACACAGGAAGCGTGCACAAGACTCAGGACAGCTCTGAATTTCTGATATGATCAGCAGGTATTGTTGGGGTTTACACACACTTTAATAAGAGTAGTTAAAGCGGAGCTCCACCTAAAATGGGAAGCTCTATGTGTCTGCCTCCTTCCCCCCTCCACTGCCACATTTGGCACTTTTTTTTTCGGTGGGAGAGAGCCCATAACTGGTTTTGACAAGTACCTGCTCCCACTTCTGGCTTAGTTTTCCACAAATGTAGCCCCCCCTTCCCCCCCCCAGTCTTCTGAGATACTTTGCGGGTCCCAGAAGACTGAGGGACCAATCTCAAGGCGCAGTGCGAGAGTCATGCATGCGCAGTAGGAAACCGGCTGTGAAGCTGCAAGGCTTTACTTCCAGTTCCCTTACTTGCAAATGTCGGTGCTGGGAACATGGGGGCTGGTCAAGAACTAGCCTGGTTGACAATGGAGCTGGACTTCTGGACAGGTAAGTGTCCTTATATTAAAAGTCAGCAGCTACAGTATATGTAGCTGCTGACTTTTAATTTTTTGGGGGGAGCCTGGACCTTCTTTTTAAGGGGAATCCTAATACAGAGAGGATATTGCTATCCACTTTTCATTATGTACCGCTTTGCTACACATCGCAGTCATTTCATTCATAAATATCGGACTGCCAGTGAGACCCCACTGAATTCTCTCTGACATGATTGGAGGGGAGAAGATCTTTTTTTTTTTTTTTTTTTGTTTACAGAACTGTCATTAATTTCTTTTGCTTGCTGGCTGCATCCCAAAGACAGTGGGATGCTGATCACATTTTTAAAGCCCATCACTGTTCTGCATAAATGTGCTATACTGCTGCTTTTTTTGAGACATCCATTTGGGAAAAACTGCTGCACTTATTTTATTTTTTTTCAATTTGGTGCATTTGGAGCTCATTCGTTTGAATGGCCTGCCTTACCACAACACTCGCAACACACTAGAACATAAGAGTGTCAATGGGTCCTAAAGGAAATATTTCAGGAGGGAAACACAGAGGCTGTCATTACTTCTCATTCTGCACATACTTGAGATAGTAAACCAGAACAGGTGTGAACACATGGCATTCTTAACATCACTCTTTACTAATATGATACATGTCAGTGTTTCTAAGTCAGTGACTTAGAAAGCACTGAATCCAATGGGCCTGGGGAAAAACTGAAAGAACATCCCCTTTTATATCTTGTCTGTCTGTTTTTTTTTGTGGGGGAGAATGCAATAAACAAGAAGAATGGCTGCAACATCTTGTACATGATACAAGATGAGAGTTACAGTGCACAGTTTGTTAGTACAGTTTGGTGACAAACCAACTGCTGGGTCCAGGGGTGAACCTTAAAGTGTTACTAAACCCAGGACCCTGCTTTCACTATATCTGGTCTCCCACAGTACACAGAACATGGAATTTCAATTATTTTAGTAAATATAAATGGCTATATACCTTTTCTCATCATCTGTATATAGCAATCTTGTAACAATGTCCAGCAGAGCACTGGTTAAAGCTTGCAGGAGGAGATTTCATTCTGCCCTAGGAGGAAGCAGAACCCCTGACCTATGTCTGGATAGTGCTGATTGGCCCTGTGCTGATCACATGCACTCTCCCAAGAAAAAAAAAAACCTCTAGCAATACACACCAACTGAGCATGTGCAGAGTGTCTCCACACAATATGTCTTATCAGGAGATAAGAGGGTGACACTGGAAGAAGGGGAGGATCAAACAGCCTTTTTACACAATGTGGAGGATTAACCCCGTAGGTTCCACAGTGAGTATAACAAACATGCATTACTGCATATACAGACTGATTTTACTGTTGTGGGTTTAGTGACCCTTGAAGAAGCACTTAGATCTATGGTGGTTGGTCTAACAATTAGGAGGTAGAGAAAAAATGGGAGGCCTCTAACAATATATTAGAAACCATATCAGTTTAGGTGGGGGTGAGACATCAATTGGAGGGTCAATGGGTAATAATTTGGTTTGGTACAGTTAGGTACATTGGAAATATTTTACTAAAGATTGTAGAGTATTTGCAGGCAGGATCTGAATAAAAGATTCCCGAACCTCAAAGAAATTTTGACATACAGATACCTGATTTACACAAAGATGCCTCCACCCATTCCATGTGAAAAACATACGATCATTTAGTTATGAACAAGGAAGGGGTGGGGGGTTTCCGGTAAATCCAACTATGAAGAATATCTTTCCATGCCACAAAGGATATAACAATAGGAAGTTGTTTATAGCCTCTCAAAATATACCTGGGATATTGATTAGACCAAAAGGTGCCTACTCCGGGTTAGAATTAGGTCGTTTACCAAAGTGTGTAGTGGCATAGTGCATTTATGAATGGCAAAAATGTTTAAGCTTGGTCATGTCCAAAATGCATGCTACAAGTCCGCATCTAGATTGCTAAATTTAAATCTACATCTTCATCCCAAAAGTCAAACGCTAAGAAAACGTAGTATCTGCTTTCCCCCCTCACGTTCCAGCACCTGGTTACTTGTTAACTTTTTTTCTAAAAAAATAACTAGGCAGATTATTGTCATGATGTGGTATTTTCTGTCTATCAGTTGAGGTTAGTCTGCCTTGAATAATACATTTTCTCCTAGGATTGGGGGCGTAGGGAAAACTAAAGTTATGGGTGAAAAGTGGGGCTCCTTGAAGTCTAAAGTCACTGCACTTTGACTACAACACACTGTGAAATAATTGTTTTTCTTTTCAGTGTGTAAGAATTTTAATGCACACTTCCAGGCGAGTGAACCAAACTATTGGAACCATTTCAGGTCAATGACCAGATCTATTAGAATTATTTGCTTACAAGACAGTTGGGCAACCCTCATTTTCCAAAGAGATGTCCACAATAACAACCCAAATATTTCTCATAACACTGAATTCCTGCTACACAGTATCTCACCTCTTTTTCTTATTTTCATAACTGTGAACTAGACTAACTGAAAAGGGCAATTGACTTTTTTTTATTATATTTAAAAGATGCTTGATGCCTTCTATTTCATTTTTAACCTTATGGTATGAATTAATATAACCGATCTGAGAATCATTTTTCTCTGTTGAGTTAGAAAATGTCCATAAACCATAATTCTGTTTTTTTTCCTCTCAACCCTGTCAGTATATATTCCTTAATCCCAGTCTTCTTCACCCCACTAATTTAATATACCATGTGTGCAGAGCGTGCTAGGAAAAGCTCCTTAGGAGGCAGTACAACTAAAAGCAATAATGTTTAAAAGAAGGATTACGCACATAGCAAAAGAGATTTTAATCTTTTATTTTTAGCCTATTTACTGTGCTATCTGACAGCAGCCTCATAATGTATACTTCTTCATCATTATCTGTAATATGGCAGAGTTCAATCTGCAATGTAACTAATTTTATTTTGTTGCCTTACCAACAAATGCTGTTTAGCTGCACCTTTTATATGCTGCCACCCACTCAATATTCCCTTCCTTCTGTAAACTTGGTCTGTCCGCCAGTTCATCATTTCACATCCACTCATTAATCTGGATCTAGATGTTACAGTCTGCTCAGTGGATTGCAGGAGGGGGTATTGTTTTTATTCTAGTGATGTATGAAAGTATCCTTTTATCATCTACCAAGTATTATGTATCTGCTATATAATCCTTACCACCATGATTACTGTTATCAAGCCAAAACTGAGCTGACCCTTTTTTGTTTAAGCATGACATCCATTTAAAGAGGCAGGTGAAAATGGAGTCATTTTTAACTCTTGAGATCATTTTAATTCAAACATTCAGTACCAGACATCAGAACTCTCCTCTTGCTGATCTCTGTCCTCACACTAGCCAGACTTTTCTAATCCCATATATTTTATCCTGGAGAGATATGGCGGAGGACTCGGCTATGATGTGAGATTGAGAACTTTCTTCTTTGGTAGTGTCCAAGGTTTATAAGAGCAATACTTTAAGGCTCTCAGGTATCTGCCTTCTCTTTCACAAACATGGATGCCTAGCTTCTCTGTTTACCTTTATGCAGATTTAATTGACAGATGCTGCATGGCCCACAGACCCACCCTGAAGAAATTGGTACCCTGGAATGCCCTGGCAGCTGGACACATGACCAGTTAACAGTATTTAGTCACCTGATCTCAGTTAATGGGGTCTAGAAATGGTCAGGTAGAGCCAGCC